GGATGATAATACTCGCTCTTAGAGGACTTATCGCTATGATTCATGTATTTATTTCTTAAGAAAGTTGTTCGAGAAAGATTAATTCAAATTATTAAGATAAACGTATGGACCAAGTGAGAGAATGTAACGGTTATTATTAAATATCTTATTTAATAATAACGTAACCGTTCTTATTAAGATTCATAATTCATTATCATGAATTTCTTCATTTATTATGGTTTAAATGATTTCAATTTATTATTCTTTATGCATGAAATCGTTATTATTAAATTAAATATTTAATATCATTAAGTTCTTCATTATGGTCCAAACGTTACAAATTTGAATTAATTCTTGAACGTTATGAGTTGGTGATGATAAATGTTCTTGATGGGAGAACATCTATATATACATGAGGATTTTGGTCCCTTGACTCAATCATCTCTTTGAAGCGAAAGGCTTTCCTACACCATCTAAAGCGAGAGTTCTAAGCCGAGAAGAACCAAAGTTCAAGAAGAAACCTCTGCAGAAATTCTTGGCGACAATGGCTGGAGGTACGCTATTTCGTTTCCGCATTAGTTTTATTGTGTTTCTATTACAATGATTTAGAAACACAAGTTGGCTTCATTAAAATTTCTTACAATTTCGACTTACAAAAAAAATTTCTGATATAGAGCTTTAACTTTTTCAACCAATAACTTTTATCGTTTTAATAAATCAACTTATACAATTGAACTATGATCTACTAAACCCTATGTTATGATAAGAGTAACACTAAAAGGGAGGGGGGGTGAATTAGTGCAGTAAAAAAAATCGTCGATTTTATAAGAAATTCGTTCATTGAAAACCAATCTAAAAAAATGCTTGACTTTAGAGTAAATGAACTAGCAATTAACTTAGAAATTAATGACAGTAATGAAAAGCATAATGGAAATGAGCACATCGGAATTTATAGTGGTTCGATTATTGTGACCTACATCCACTTTCGATTCCTCCTCCATCGAGATCACCAGCATCCACTAATGGTCTTCTTTAATGAGCGAAGACAAACCACTTTTTTACAGCTCTCTTCTCCTTTTCATGGGTTTAGGAGATAACCCTTACCAGCTTCACACATCTCTTGAATGATCACAACATTAAAAAGGGAGAAGGAGGACTTTTTGCACTTTTACAATATTTTCACACCCTAATACTTCAATATTTTGTTTACACTTTCGTGTCCTTTCATGCAGAAAAGGGTGGGGTATTTATAGTCCCCAATGACTTCAAAATTGGAGTAAAAAAGTGTCTCATCCCGGATTTCCAAAGTACTAGTGGTACCATTGCTATTATTGGGTGCTTGTAGACTAACACTGGGCGGTACCACCGCCCAGACCACTTAGAAGACTGAGTCACCAAGCGATGTCACCGTCGGCCTTGACTTCAGGTGATGAATAGGCTGTTCAACCGCCCTAATTCAGCCCTATTAAGAGCCCAATTGGCCCCTAACTGAGTTGTTGGGATTCCCTCCCAATCCTAACTTAACTTATGGTCTAATTATGATAATTTAAAATATTTACTAAGCAATCTCTGTCCGGTATGTCAATTGTTTTCTCGACGAACTTCTCGACGAACTCCCGACGAACTCTAAGCGGGCTCCCGATGAACTCTCGACGAGCTTCCGGCAAACTTCCGGCATATCGTCCGAATCTTCGACGTATTGTCCGATCTTTGACTCCGACCTAACATCTGCTTTATGCCTTTATTGTCATCGTCGTTAATCCTGCAATACTTATCTCAATATATATATTACATCAATAATTTACCAATTAATTTCATAATCGAAATATGAGATTCAACCCCCTAAACTATTTTCAGCATAGCATAGTGGTGCATATGCTGCTATATAATACTAAATCGGTTCAACCATTCCAATCTGCTATCTTCGATCGCTAATTCACATCTCAAACGTACAATTGAATTGGTTCAATAGGGGTACATGTTTTGTATAAATGGTTCGATCGGTTCAATTGTATGAGTTTAATAAATCGGATTTAATTGTACCTGTTTTGTGTTTTAGATGCATCCCAAAAACTTCCTACTAAACCCAAAACCCTTTATTTCTTACTGTTACGCGTTTTATACGTTTGTACAGCTACATACGTATAATTATACATGCTTTGCCCCGTTACGATTCACCCCGTTCCGTGTCTCGTAGCAGTATTCGTTGCGATCGATATAATACATAATCCCATCTTTGACACACTAATTATAACGTTGGGAGGCGGTTGTCCTCTTCGCCGCCGCCCGATCCCTTCATTCTAGAAAGGATAGCCCCAGTCGAGCTGATCGGTGGTTTGACATCGTGAGGTAGATAAGACATGCCCGCCGATGACAGCGGTGGCGACGCTGGGAAGAAGCTGTGTTGCATCTCCCACGTCTTCTTCGAAGCTGCCTCCAAGAACTCTGCCCGCACTGCCGTTGTCCACGCCACCGGCGGCATCCAACAGCGAGGGGAGGCCGGCGAGGGTTCAGCCGCTCACGCCGTGGAGGAGGGTTCGTCCCCTCCGATCTACCCCGGCGACGTGTGCTTTACCTGGGGTGACGTCTTATCGGCGGTTGAATCCTTGAGCCATCGCATCCGCTTGGTTCTCGATGGAGGAGACGATCCTGATCTCGTTCGGCCTCAAGGTTAGGGTTTTTAGGCCTTTCGTTCTCTTTTCTTCCTATACTAGTTATTGGCAATTGGTGGAGGGTGGCTAGGGTTCAGCTGCTCAGGCCAGCAAAGAGGGATTGTCACCTCCATTTTACACTGGCTGTGCGCTTTACATGCGGTGACATCCTATTGGAGGTTGGATCCTTGGGCCATCGTTTCCCTTGGGTGAAGATGATCTCGATCTTGTTGGTCTCTAAATTAGGGTTTTTAGCTATCCTGGCGTTAGTGTCAATTTTGATTATCTACCCGATGTGGCGGAGTTGACCACTTGTTTTTTTGAATCTTGGCACTGTTAAAGTTGGAGAAGAAGTCCGCTCCATAGCGAAATGTAATATGGAAAGCTGACTCAAGAAGCTTGATATGGAAAGATATCCATTTAGGGAGCTTTGACCTGGACTTGCGAGGTGACTTGATTGGAGGCATAGCCCTCCTGTGTTTGAAAAAGGTTCGATTGTCAAATTTTTGTTCGGACCTGCTAAACCTGCAAAACTTGCACTGGAAACGTGTCTGCATAGTCCCTCTGAAGTTCAAGGCAATTTGTGGTATAAAAGATTTTTTTGAAGAGTTTGAGAGTTGAGAATGAGTTTTCAGGGTTACAAACAGAACGTGCCTAAATAAGGCCCATTTTAGAGCTTTTATATGTAATCGTCGTTGATTATGAAAGATTAAGTACTGAACAAGTAACTATTTCCTTTGGATGTCATATTGGTAGGGCTCGTTGTTGTTTACTAGGCTTCGCATGTTGAGTCCCGATTGGCTGTCAATAATTGCCATAATACATGGTATCTTTTCTTTCTATGCTTTATTGGCAATTAGTGAAAGCTTGCAAGCATTTAGAAACCAATGCCGCCGTCATATCTACCTTGTGACGTCTGTTCTATTTTTTGTATTGGAATTAGAATTAGGTTTTGGTAGTCTTCACAAAATTTCTCCTAGTTGCAACCAATGGATAAAAGGTTAAAAGTCATTGCCGGTTGAGCAAGTTGCTCATCTGGAATTTTCTTTTCCTTTTTGTCTTAAGAAGAGGAAACAATTTATCATTTTTTATTAGTAAACTGTGTAACGCATCAGAGCTTGATAAGATATCTTAAATGCCAAGCAAACGTTTCTTTCTTGCTTTAACATATTTTTTTCATATCTATCTATTTATCTTTTTCTTTTTCATTTCAGATTTCCTTTTCTCGTCTCCTGCCATAATGGGCAGGAGCCATTGAATTCATTTTGATGTACTTCTGATGCACATTGAATTCATTTTGAATCTTCCAAATTGCAGGGTATTGTGGCTCAAAGCAGATTGCCATGGCAGAGGATCCACTGACACTGGATTTCCGAATGCCACAAATTGTGGGCATTTGTATTCCCCCTTCTGTGGAATATATAGTTGCAGTCCTTGCAATTCTTAGGTGTGGGGAGGCTTTCTTGCCATTAGACCCTTCATGGTCAGAAGAAAGGATACTCTCAGTTATTTCTTCTTCAAAAACTGGCCTTATAATCAAGTGTGCATCATTTTATAGAACTCAGCAACTTGAGGCAATTGATTGGATTGTGGAAAGGAGTAGTTGTTCAGTTTTGTATGCAGATATGAAAATGGATTCTGAGAGGGAGCTTTGTTGGCCTGATCTTATTTGGCCTTGTGAGAGCAGAAGCCCGAGAAGATTCTCTTATTTGATGTACACATCTGGTTCAACTGGAAAATCAAAAGGTGTCTGTGGTACAGAAGAAGGTACTTTTCTGTACATTGCAGCTGTAATCTTTCGTGTTTTTCTTGAAATGTGCTATGAAAAAGATGCCTTGTGATATTCTTTGAGTAATCTTTTGCCTTGGTGTAGTCCTTCACATATCACTTGTAACCGCTTTATTCAATTTTTATCTCTTATTTAGTTGACTTCTCATAAATAATGACCAAATGTACTCCTTTGCCAGATGTTAGTATATGTATTTTGGTAATATCCAGGATTTTAACAACACTTGGTATATTTCAATTCTAGCTTTCAGCTTTTCTTGTTGGAACAATATTGTTCTCCATGTCATTGGATCAGTTCCCCCTTTTATGCCATCCTGTCAAAAAATTGCAATTTTGTGCAGCCTAGTGATACACCTATTGTAAACTATGATTTATGCCAGAAAATATAACCTGAAGAAATGTCTAATTTGCACTGTTTAGATTTTCATTTGTGAAAATTATTGATGCATATGCTTATTTATTATCAACCATTCTATCAGAAATCATAATCAACTCTCTACTATTTTTTGATATCGACTATGTTTTATGTCACTGCTTTTTGTTCTTCCATCTACCATCTATAGTTCTCTTTGCACAATAGCAATATGTCATTTTGTTTGAGGTTTTGTTATGTTGCCTTTTCATAACTCATAAATTTTTCGTGCCAGGTTTTGCCATACACTGATCTTGAAGTTTTTTCATGCTTAATTGTTTTGTGGTCAAAGTTCTCGAAATGTTAGATAACTTTCATTTGTCTGCTAGTTTAGGTAGGACAACTGTAAGCTTCTATGCTATGGCGATCCTTGTTTTCAAATAATTTGCATTAGATCATACCTTAAGATGCTAAATATGTAATAAAGCTACTGTTATGTTATTCAATTTCCCTTGTGCTGGGTTCGTACTGAGATACGAGGTATGTAGCCTATATAAATGATGATAGTACCATGGTATGCAATTTCAAATGGCACCGCCCGGTATGGGCGGTACGTACCAGTCCGATGGCATACCGGTATGCGGATCGTCCGCTACCGGACGGAGCATTCTATATTGCTACAGTAATACACTGCAGCAGTGCTACAGTACTATAGTAAGAGGAAATCGCTCAGTAAGTCCTGGTGTACCGTTCGGTATGCCGGTACTATACCGTACCGAGCCAACCTCGAAATATCGGTACGATACGATATTACATACCTTGGATAGTACTACTGTTGATGGAACTACAATGATACAATTTGGGGTGTTAATAGGTTTGATTCAAAGCCAAAACATACCCATGTAAATTGTGCTTTGTTCTTCTAGATATTCTCATTCGAGAATGATATGTTGCATCTTGAGTTCTTTAAGGTTGTATATGCAATAAATTCTATGTTCATACTTCCTGTTTTCTCATGCTTTAGATTTACTGAAAGCATAAATTACTTGTTCCAGTCATCAATAAATGGTTATTCTGAACATTCCCTGATCTCTCTAAGATATGTGCTAAAGAATTGATAGATCTACCTTTACTAAACATAAAATATAATGCAATATCTGCAACTGTATTGTAGATTTGGCTAAATCTTCCTGTAGTGTGACAGGTGTTGATATTCTTCAGACCAAATAAATCAAAATGAGTACTAAGTTTGCTGGATTTGAATTATTTTTGGTCATGTTCCCTCTCCTGCAAATGTTCTTTTAGAGTTTCTCTCATGATCTGTTTGTCTGTGGAGATATGATCAAGAGCTTCACTTTCAGGAATGCCACTCTTTTGGATGCTTGTTTCTCATTCTATTGAATGTCCATTGCTTAAATTAAAATAAATAAAATGCCTTGCATGTATTAATTTTTCTCCCCATTGTTCTCTCAGGGTAGGGCTTATTGCTATTGTTATCACGATTTTGTCAAATTGTGTAGTTTCAAATACTTCAGAACCATACATCTAGTGTTCGTCCCCTTGGTATATAGCATGTGGAAAATAAAATATAGTGACACTAATATGAGACCCATATTGTCACATTGTGGTTTGTACAAGCCAATTTAGCTTCTCCCTGTTTTCCTTTTCATTACTCATTTGTTAGTAAAAGTTTTATCTTTTATACACAGGATACATGTTCTAGATTGTTGTTCACTTTTCTCCTCTAGTTACAGATAGCTAATATTTGCTGTATGCTGAATCCATCTTGTATTAGGTCTCCAATGTGGAATACTTATGGAAGGAAATGTTTTGACAAATGTGGCTATACTGTCCGACTGGTTTATTCTTGTGTTTGTGGTTAGATTCAGAAGTTTTAAGTTAGCTAACCATATTTTCGTTTCATCATTGTTCTTTAGAAGTGATAACTCTTAGTTGATACTGTCTCTCTGATACTTCTGTGCTAGTTAACATCAGTTCTTGAAGGCTATTGTGTTTTTTTTATTATCAATTTTTTTCTGAACATCATTGCTTGTTCAGTTCCTACTAAAAAAAAATGAATGACATTGACTGCAAAGCAAGCTTCTTGACTTGAAAAGAAAAAGGAATAGACCAGTAATGAACTTTGCAGGGTCTTTGCTTTTCAAAAATTAAAGGAGGAGAGGGGATGTTGGTGGATTTATCTGGCACTACTAGTGGCAAGAAGCCTTGTATACACTAGGGTAGTTCATTAATATGTGTGCTTGAACGTGTATATACAGATGTTAAGAGTGGCTACCTTGTTTATATGCTTTTCAGCATAGATTAGAGGATTGAGCTTGCTTGTGGCTGCATGTTCTATTCTTGGTATGCTTTATGCTCTCTTTATTTACCTGATCTTCAAATCTTAGTTAGCTTGCTAACTCTGTTTCCCAAATATTTTTAGGCCTTCTGAACCGATTTCAGTGGATGCAAGGATTGATTCCTCTATGCAGCAAGGACATATTGTTGTTCAAGACATCTACTAGCTTTATTGACCATCTACAGGAGTTTCTTGGGGCTATTTTAACTTGCACATTGCTCGTCATTCCTCCATTTAATGAGTTTAAAGCTAATCCAATCTGTTTAGTCAATCTTCTTAAGGTATTCAACTTGATGGATTGCATGTATTATAAAATTATAAACAACTACCATAAAGCAGGGTCAACCGAGGTCACTTGTCTCAGACTCCTGCCAATTTGAGGTATTGAGGGGGATAATATAAGCTGCCCTTGCTCTTGCATACTAAGAGGTTTTTTCCATGACTCATATCCCGGTCAACCAGGTTGCAAAGGAGCAACCTTACTTGGTTGCCAATACATACCCTTAATTATGATCAGCAATATGGATCATATTGTGGTACACCTGTTGTTTTGTTGTCTCTCTTTGTTTTGCATGTTTTCATGCTAAATCATGCTCTCAGATTGAATTTCAAATTATCAGCATCTAAGAAATTTCATAGCTAAAGTCTAATTTGATTTTATACCAGATCCTTTTGTTAATCTGAATGGATTATCACAATCCATTTTACTAGATCTAATTGTGCCCTATTGTCACGGTCTTAGTTGGAATTGCCTAAGGCGTGAGGCACCCTTGCGGCCAAGACGCGAACTTAGCTTACGTTGCCTAAGTCGCGCTTCGCCCTTGTGATATTTAAATTATATATATATATATATATAAGCGTCTCGGCGACGTCGTTGAGCCTTTTTCTAAAAAAAATAAATAAATAAATAAAATAAATATTATTTTATTATTATTATTCGTTTTGCCCGGTAACGGGCAGTCCGCATACCGGTATACCGTCGGACCGGTATGTACCGCCCGTACCGGGCGGTATTATTCAGTATTGCTTACCCTGACATATAGTACACTTGGTTACCATGAAAATTGCAAACAGTTAGTTCAACACATCTGATGTTCAAAGCTCCCATTTTTTTTTCAGGCATACTGTATTTCAAGATTGACATGTGTCCCTTCTTTGATGAGGCTGGTTCTTCCTAAATTGAAGCATTCTTATATCCGAGGTTGTAATCCTCTGGAAGTATTGATCCTTAGTGGGGAGGTCTTATCTATATCATTGTGTCGAAGTCTGCTTGAAACTTTGCCAGAGACAACAATTCTCAATCTCTATGGAAGTACAGAGGTCAGCAATTAAGTATTCAGGTTTGTTTCACCTAATTTACTAGGAATGGTGCACTGTTGTCGTGAAATCTTTCTTGTTATGCACTAGTATCACAGAATCTCTCTTGTTAACAGTTATAATGAGGTGATTGCATACTTTCAGTATCTTAGAAGCATATGGCATATTTTGTTTTCTTTTCTATACTTGGGATTATCGGTGGTAGACATACAACAGTAACAACAAAACAGTGAAGTCCCAACTATATACGTGTTACTGATACTTGCAGTTGGTGATAATTCTGCAACCATTTGCCAAGTGTCAGGATCATTTCTTGCATGTAGAACTTTCTTTTTTTTTAACTATTTGCATTCTTTTTCTATTCATTTAATAAGATAGGTTGAAAAAAGCAAATTACATTATACAAATAGCTTGGGCTCCAAGGGGGTATCATTTTGTGCCATTCCCTTTTCTCATCATTGCATGAGACTTTTTGAAGTTTAAAAAGTTGATGGGTTGCATCCTGTTGACGTGTTATTCTTCCTAAATTTCTTTATGAAAGATAATGTGCTGATGCTTCTGTGTAGTTACCTTCTGTGATTGAGCTTTGTGAATGTCATTCCTGCTTTGGTAACATTATGACATCAAGAAGAGTACTGGCAAATATCATGATTGTTACCATCATCCACTTGCCTATTATCCTTTCCAACTAATTCTACTGAAGGAGATTTATAACATGTCTGATTTTTATTCTTGTTATTCTGTTTGATTACTTTTAATTGGTAACCTTTTCGGCCCTGGCATCTAGATTTAAGAGCAAATTCATTTCTACAAGCTAGTGACAGGAACCAGTAATTGGTAACGGCCCGCTTTGGTAACATTATGATATCAAGAAGAGTACAAGCAGAATCATGATTATTACATCCATGCTCCTATAAACATGGAGTCACTTGAAGACCACAACTTTAGATTAAGATGGTTTGAGGAAAAATATTTGACAGATCATCATCATCATATTTCCAATGGACATGAAATTACTTATAGATCATAACGGAAAATTGACAGAAATCAAAGAAAGATTTGATGAATTTTTGAACCACTATCAATTTGTAACTCAATTCAAACCCTTTTTAAATCTCTTAACCTAGTGGTAGTTATGTAAGGAAGGAATTTGTCCAAGAAGTTTAGTCGGAGTTTAGTGAATAGAAGTTGTATGTATTTAAGTACATGCAATCATGGAACAACCTTCCCAAGTTATTTTGACTTGTTAACATGTGGAATAATGGGGAAATGATTAGCTTTGCCACATGATTTATCCTAGAAATGCAATTTTATATAAAAAAATCAGGTATTGCCTTTTCGTGATTAGTCTGATGATGATTGTTGCCAGGAAAGGTACATGCTGATGTCATACTGTGTCAAGTGCCTTAATGGTTGATGTGTCAATATCATAGGATTTAAAAAGAAAAACAATAGGTTTGTGACCTTATACAATCAAACCAAAAAAACACTTGCGTTTCACTCAACTTTGGTGGCTTTTTAATGACATTGAGGTATCTGTTGGTGGGTACCATTACTTGCAAGAGGCTGTGGGAGGAAAGGAAGCTCTATGGCTTGATAGACTTGTTTGCGGGTATTAGATCTACCAAAGGTTTGTCATCAGTTCTTTTGGGTTGACTCCTGACACTAATTTTAAGTCCACTTTTGATCAGTCTTGGGTGAGAGTTCTGGATCTGGAATACTTCTGTTACAACCTATTTAACTGGTGATTTACCTGGTCCACAAAATCGAAGCTAGAGTAATCATAGTGATGACTATTGTGGCTAGACGTAATGGACCTAGGTTATATCAAAGTGAAAATCGTTCAATATATTTAACATTTTGATGGCATAATTTCTACTAGAGTTGGGAGTGATGTTTCTTACACTGAATCATGCCTTCTTCCTTCTACACAAACTCATTCCCATTCTGGCAAATACTTCCAACTAATTCTACTGAAGGATACTTGTAACATGCCCGATCTATATTCTTGTTATTTTGTTTGATGGCTTTTAATTGATAACCTCATGATTGCTGGCATCTAGATTCTAGAGCAATGCATTCTTACATGTTAGTGACAGGAATGAGTAACAATGTGAAAACTGAAATGTAAATCCATCTCATCTTTTAGCTCTGTAATTGGTCAAGGCAAATTTTAATCAGAATTCATTGTGTTTTTATCTCACTGATTTTGGATAAAGATATTGATCTTGTTTTCAATTGTTTTATTTTTCACGCTACCTTCCAACTGATGAACTATATGGTATTTTGGATGAGTTCTATTCGTAAGAAACTTATTTTATTGAACATGGAATTTTAAACTCTCGAACTGGATGTGAGGCTGCATAAAGCATTTCATGGAAAGGTTCTTCTCAGGTTATATTTGTATTCATGATTTTTTTCTTAATAAAAGTTCCTATTATCAATTAAATCCATGAATGGGTGTTCAACAATCTGATCATTTGTAGAAAGCTTGGCTTTTTTTCCTCTCTGCAATCATCTGGCATGCCATATGCAGGTTAAAGGTTATTAGATGAGTTTCAAATGCAGTTTTAGAAGCATTTATTTTCATTTCCTTCAACAATAACAATAGTTAGACTGTTCTTCAGGTATCAGGTGACTGCACATATTTTGATTGCAAAAATTTAGCAAGTGTTTTGGAAACTGAATCACTAAGCAGTGTGCCTATTGGAATTGCTATCTCAAATTGTGATATCATTCTTGGTGAATTCGACAACCCTGATGAGGGCGAAATCTTTGTTTCTGGGTCATGCTTGTTTGCAGGATACCTTGATGAACACTTAAATGACAATCCTAAGGGTAACAGTAGTGGGTTACAATTCAGGACTGGTGACTTTGCAAAACGTCTACAAAGTGGAGATCTTGTATTTCTAGGAAGAAATGACCGCACTGTAAAAATCAATGGGCAACGGGTTGCTATGGAGGAGATTGAGAGTATGCTAAAGGAACATCCTGAAGTAAGTGATGCTGCTGTAACTTTTCATGGAACAGATGGAGTATCAACCCACCTAGAGGCATACTTTGTAATGAAAACTTCCGAGGATCTTCAGAAAGAAAATAAACACTCTTCAGATGAGCAGCATTTGATTGAAAACCTGATCACATCTATCCGTAGTTGGTTGGTCAAGAAACTTCCACCAGTAATGATCCCAAGTTATTATTTCTGTATGAGATCATTGCCGACCTTGGCCTCTGGGAAAATTGATTATCTCAAGCTTTCAAGTTCAGTATGTATGCCAAAGCAGCGTAGAAGTCATTTTGAAATGAATCAGACTTCTGATAGTCTGTTGCAAATTATTAAAGAAGTATGCTTTAATCAACTCTTGGTTATTTACTCATTTATTTCAGCCAGTTAATATAATGCAGTCAAGTTCTTGATTCACTTGTCGGCTGTACTTTATATGAACCACAATGTTGTTTTCTTATTAGGTGGCTTGCATGGATAGTTATAATTAGCACAGGACTGATACCATTACATTTTGATTCTTCTTATATTGTTTATTTCCTTTCACAAGTTCATTAAGCTAAGATATAATTGGAGAAATGTTGGAGAAAAGGTATAGTTGAAGATTACAATAGTGCTTATGTTGCAACATTTTGAAAAAAGAATGTGAAATATGAGAAAAAGAAGCCTTAAAATCCTAAAAGATTTACTTTGAAATTTCTAATTCTCTCCTATTGAATTAATTGATGTGCAACACTTACAAATAAACAGTTTGATAAGTCCAACTTGCTAATGCATAATTGATGCATTAGTGAGAGTGGATGCAAGAGTCCATCTGTCTTGTAATTGATGCAATTGTCACTAGGCCCATTCTAATGTAATTTCTAAGCTTCTCCAGTCATTACACCATATAGCTGTAATCTTAATGAAAAGCTAGTGAAGCAGTGTTCTTATTCATATAAGGATTATTTTAGTAAAAATTACTTTAAGATTTTGTAACTTCTAGCATTCTCTGTTGTCGAAAAAAATATAGCAAAAGAAATTTTTTATTGTGAAATGTTAAGTGATTGCTATGTATGTAGGAGTAAAAGCCTGCTGCTCTAATTGTGCACTATAGAATTGTTTGTTTTTTTTCTTCGGATCATAATTTGGTTCCTCTTTGCCAGGTATTTTGTGATGCATTATTGGTTCAAGAAGTTTCAGACTATGATGACTTCTTCTTGATGGGTGGTAACTCCATTTCTGCTGCCCAAGCTGCACATAAGTTGGGGATTGATATGAGATTAATTTATATGTTTCCTACTCCACTTAAGCTTCTAAATGGTCTAATAGAGAGGAAAGAATTGCATGAGAATTTTATTGGACCTGATAATGGGATCAGGAAAAGATCAAAAGTTTATGGTAATGTGCCTGGTGCTCTTGATTTATCAACTGGAGAAGTGCAAAGAAGTTTTCCACCTGAAAGATCATCACAACCATATGTTGGTGTCCAGGTCCATGATCTCTCCATAGAACATAATGTACAACAATCGATTAGTAACTCTGAGAATATTTACTTTAAGCAAGAAGTTTCTTTTCTACCTCCAGATTCACTTGGTGCAACTTCGAGTGATCATGGCCTGTGGCCTTCAAAAAGTAATAGGCATAAGATGTCTGCGTTCGGTCGTTGTAATAAAATTATGGATGAACTTGAATGTGACTTGGATAACACAAATAGATTATGGTTGTCAATTAAGACTCCAAGGAGTAGAAAAGGGTCTTTGGAAGAGCTCTGGAAAATCTTGCTCGAGTCATGTGTTGATGCTTCACCTTTGATTGTGTTAATGGATGACAACTTACACCTTCTCATTGGATCTCACTCGCACATATTTCTTTGCATTGATGCACTCAGGTAAGGATCATTCATGCTGCTGGTGCATCTAGATTTTATGCTTCTGATGGTATTTAATTTGCTAGTGTTCTTGCTCTTTCCTCCCTCAATTAGGCATGATAAATTCTGGGCATCTTATGCCTTGTAAGATTTCTTGATTGCAACAACGTAGCATATGCTTGATAAATTATCATGTTGTTATGAGTTAGTTAATTTTAGGTCTGATTTAAGTGAATTTTCTATCATCTTTTTTTTTGCTTGTGAGTCAGAATCTTTCTACCATATTATTATGGACAAAGCTGTAAATGAGATGCTTGATATAATGCTTATGTATGTTCGTGCATTTCGGTTTTGTTCATGCTTTGCACAATATGTAGAGGGTTGGCCATAGGCTTGGCAGCCTTATTTTGTTTGGTCTGTGGTGGACCTTCTTGGACCCTTTATCGTGCGACTGTTCAAAGCTTTTAAAGCCTATATTTGTAATTTGCATTGCCTATAAAGTGTTTGCTGAAATAGCTGCTTGTGGATCTCGAGCGAAACGCTTTCTTTAACCCATCTTCTCCTTTGTAAGTCCTTAAGGGACCATAGGATGTTTTGGGGAGGTTGACCCTTTGTGGACGGACACGCAAGGGTGTCGCACGACTTAGGCAAAACTAGCTAACTTTGTGACAGTTGGTATCAGAGCGGGACAAGTACACATAGAAATACTTGGCATGTAAACGTGGGGGACCTAATGAGGTTGTGTTGAGGGCAGCTAGCACACACGACCATTTGGGAGAAATGAGCGTTGAATTGTAGGGAAAGAAGTCGCTCAAAGAAGCAAGCATCCGATATTAGCATTTAGAGGAATGACCAACCCTTCGCGCGAGAGGCACCACGAGGATAAGCGAGCTAAGAAGAACGTGTAGCGCACAAAGGTTGGGATGGCTGAGTTCGAGCTATGGTTCAACGTTAGCAATTAAACTTGACGGTGCTCAAGGCAAGCAGGGCACTTGGTAAAAGATGAGACTGTGCAAGGTAGGATGGTTTGCTCAACAACTAAAATAGTTGTGCAAAACTCACAGAGGTGAGGAGAATTGCTAATTTAACGAATTTGGTCCTCATGCAAGGGCTTGTATGCAGACGATGGAATGCTCGTTGCCATCCCAAGGCGACCGAAACTCGACGCTTGGAGCATTGAAATTTTTTCTTCGGCTTGAGAAGGATACGTCCATTAGAGGCTGAAGTGCGCAGCAAGTTCAACATGTTGCTAGGCCTTGAGAGGTGTAGCGAGGGCTGTATTGGTGCACAGTCACAATCTAGCAAGTGCGTTCGTGGGTGCAGAACAACACACAATTTGTTCAGCAAGGCAGAATAGTCTAAGGGGATGGTTTTTGAAACTTCCAAAGGAAAGGATGCGAAGAGAGAAGTTGCTCAAACGAGATAGATAGTCAGGAGGGATACGTCCTGGTTCTTTAGAGGGAGAATCATGTGCAACAGACCGCACATGTTGAGGAGGGGGTATCTCAAGACATTAACTCCACAAATCTCAATGGACCGAGCGAGCGGCGAGGAGTCATCGTATGATCCCGCATGAGGTAATGCATTGGTGGATGTATTGCGAGATTAAGTGGGGGAGTGACCTAAGACAACACCAAATGAAGGCACACTTGAGCCAATATTAAAATCAAACTCAACGGAGGGCTGACCCATGGAATGGTGCGCGTGAGGCTACTATCAACTTAATGCAAACCAAGGAGCGAAGCAGTTTGGGTGGAACTTGGTGAAAAGCCCAGGCCGCATGAAGGGAGTTGATATAGAAGATGAAACATGGAGCGGAGGTACGAAGCTTTCCTTAGACAGAGGTCAAGGACATGAACTCTTATAGAGGTAAGAGCGGGATCATGTCATTTCATGGGTCCCTCATTCTGATAGAGCGGACTCATCCTGTATGGTGCTAAAGACGAAGAGAGCTTCGAGGCATATGCACTTTATCTCAGTGAAGCATTTGACGAAGGAACTAAGGTGACTCAACTTGCGAAGGCGAAGTTGGGGCCAGAAGGCCTTGGCAGGGGAGGGGCAGAGGCCCAGGATCTAGACAATGGTGCGCTAATTTCGACGAAGTCGATGGACTTCGGGAGTTGCTAGGCGACGGACTGTCCTAGAGCTGTGCTTCGTCCGGGTGTGAGCCCGGGAGCGGGTGGACGAAGGTCAATTGCTAAATGAGCGAATACAATCGAAGGTGGTAGAGGCCCTACGGTGTGCTGGTAGAGGCCACACCTGGAGAGATCACAGTTCGAGTTCATCCCACAATGATCAGAATGCAATGAAGATGTCACCAGGAGGCGACATGGTACAGTAGATCGTTGTCGAACAGTTCGAGGCAATGCAACATACACGAGACAAATCCCACAAGGGATTGGGTTATATAGAGGTATGATCGGGAGCTACTAGGAGCTCCACTTTGGTGAACAACACGACGACAAGAAAGGTTATAGATTCAAGGAGTGAATGCCATGTTACCAAAGAGGTAAGTCTTCCATGCGTGTATTGAATTTTGCATTTGATGAAAGCCTTGGTTATCAACATATGAGAGCTGTGTACTACCAAGGGGGGACTTGATCATACAGAGGTATGATCGGAGCGGTTGGAGAGTTGGACTGCTCCATAGCTCATATTCGCTTAAGGGAGCCCGGCAAGTCAGAGGACAAGGCCGAATAAGCGAACGTTGCTACCAAGGAAGCTAGGTAGAATATAATTGGCATGAGCCTTGCAACATTATGGTGGAGGCCATGCATGGGAATTGCAATTTGGCTTTCCATCGACCAAGGGGAATTGCTCGAAGAACATAGAGGTATTGAAGTAGATGGTCAAAAGGGGTGAGGAAGCGATGACGAGTGTAGAGGGACTCAACTATCCAAAACCAAGAGTCGGTGAGAATGGAGATGGACTCGGAGGAGTGTCATAGTGTCACGGAGGCGGATCTATCGATCGCGGAGAAAGGGACGCAGATGCGAGGCAACAGATAGTAGTGCCATAGGCATGGCAGCGCCATGGTATCGCATAAGCGGGACTTCCGTGGAGTCATCGATCCCTTGCTCTTATTGGAGGGAACGCATTGGTCATGAAAGGGGTCGAGGAGGTGGAGAATGTAGAGGCAAACTCTAAGTGCCTAGACATGACTGAAGGGCAGAGGCCAAGGAACTTCGTAAGATCGATGTCAACGAGCTTCTCATCAAGATAGTTGAAAGTGAAGGACTTCGGGGCGATGCAAGAGTACTCGACCCAGGAAATAGGTAGTACGCGGTGTTGTACCTTTTCTCTTTAGAGGACTAGGTGACACAAATGATAAAGAATATGGTACAATCCCATAGGCGACTAGAACTATTAGAGATTTGCTCCAAGTTGGGGTGAAATTTTGCTCTTTTTCGGGCAAAACTTCTTGCATTCTAGAAGTTCGATGGCAATGAGAAGGTGAATCGCAGTAGCTAACTCAACGCAATAAGTGCAAACACTTTAAGTACTTCGGAAGTGTGTGCAAAGAACAGGCGAATGCTAGTAACCAATTCGATGTATGCAGTATAACCCTCGAGGAGGCGGACGAAGTCAAGTAGCCTTTGCCTTCTCAACCCTTAAGAAATTGGGCGAGACCGAGTACCCCAGTTCTCTTATTTATTCAGCAGAGGAGCTCTGCACAGGTTCAAAGACCCTTCGAAGAAACTTGGCAAAAGACAATAGTTGTCAAATCCTCACTAATGGTGATCGGTGCTACTGAGAGTAGACTGTCCGCCTCATTTCCCAATAGAATGCTAATCAAAAGTGGAAGTGATGCGAACCTACTTGAAAATGACAACCAAGTGGAAGAGGAATTGATGGGCGAATTTTGTGGATGAAGGGCCCCAAAAACTTCAAAGTCTGCGAGGCAATGTTTGTTAAAGCTCCAACAAACATCCATCTAGTTCAAGCGGCATGAGATGCTTGAGAGACTAGCGCATAACAAGGGCGGTCTTTTGCTTCATCTGAAGGATCCGTAGCAATTAACAAGGATCAACACAACTCGGTTGACCTCACACCAGAGTCAGAGTCATTGGCGAGTTGAAGCAGCATGCGAATCAAAGTTGGACTACTTAACAACAGCGACAAAGAGCAGCTGGGAGCCAAGAGGTGTTGTAGCTAGAGCAGAAGATGAAAGACTCAACAAAGGCGAGAAGATGCAACGTTTACAAAGGCTTCTACGAGGATGTCGAAGGAATAAGTGGGGGAGAATATCATGGACAAAGCTATAAACGGAGTGTTTGATGTAATGCTCATGTATGTCCGTACCTTTCAGTTTTGTTTACGCTTTGCACAGTATGTAGAGGGATGGCCATAGGCTTGGCAACCCCATTTTGTTTGGTTTGTGGTGGATCTTCTTAGACCCTTTGTCATGCGATCGTTCAAAACTTGCAAAGTTTATGCTTGTAATTTGCAGTACCTATAAAGTGTTTGCTGAAATGGCTGCTTATGGATCCCGAGTGAAACACTTTCTCTGACCTGTTTTCTCTTTTGTAGGTCCTTAAGGGACCATAGGAGGTTTTGGGAAGAATAACCCTTTACGGACGGACAAGCAAAGGTGCCGCATGACTTAGGCAAAACCAACTAAGTCCGTGACAATATGTTGCCTTTTTCTTTGCCATTTACCCTATTTATCTTATATTTCCTTTGACAAATGAGCTAAATCTTAATACTTTGTTATAATGGGGTTCTTAGGAGGTAAATGTTCATATTTGTATAGTAACACATTCACTGCTCAAAGATGTGGATGATGTTATAGATAGATTGTGTAACACGAGACTCCTGCAAATGCGATGTGCGGGGAGTGTAGAACACATTAGATGCTTTGACCTCCAAGACAAATCTGGTTCTATTAAAAATAATTGATATACATGTTAATATCATGGTTCCCCAGCCGGATCATTATGGGTCCGGTATGTGTTGGCGTAATAGCCCACGGTACACTAGCACATGTCATGAAACTCTTTTAAAGATTTGAGTATATGTGGTGTTGGGAGGCACGCGCCGTAGTTTGTACCGCTGACCAGTATGCATAGCTAGGCACCATATGTTACGTACATAACGGTCTTGGCAAAACATGAATGATGAAACTATGGTTAATATCATATATCTCCATTGAGAAAGGATGATATATTATTGCTAACTTTGTCTTGGAAATGTGTGAGGAAATGAGAAGATATTGAACGACTGCATTTACATGAACGAAACCGCAGGTATAAAAAAGCAGTTGTTAAAAAGGTATTATATTTATAAAGAAGCACAATAATGTGTTATGGTTTTTTAGTAAGAATTGTGCTTCTCTTTAGCCAAAACTGATTAGGTAGGCTAGAAGAACTTTCGAAACATAAATAGTTCATCAGATAATTTTCACTCTTTAGTTAACTGTTGATTGTTCGAGGATGAGCAATGGATCATCCTTTGTCGAAGTTGATGAAAAAAGGGTACTGCTCTTACATTGCCACTCTTAAATTACTTGATTTTTCTTTTTTACTTGTGAGTTATGTAACATCTTGATGGGTGTGACCATTGGCATTAAATACTTGAAATAAATCTTAACTCTCTAGTTGACTGCAGTGTTTGATAGGATTCTAGGGTCCTAGGGCTTCCTTCATGGACTGTTGTGTTGTTACTCTGTGGCTATGGCTTGTTAGTTTTAATGACGGCATATAATTAATTGAAGCAATTTACTAATGAGGGCATTGATTTTGGTTGCTTGCTATATGAAAATTTAATTTTATTTCATAGAGGTTCTATTTAGATTGTAGGTTAGGAAGATTTATGGAGCAACAACTATAGTTACACAGTAAAGCAAAAAATTGATTGTAATTTTCAAGGAGTTCTGGTTTTGACAGAATCTGGAAACTACTGTAGTTTATAATTTCTGTAAAATTTGAACCTGAAGTACTTCATGTTTTGTTTCCTTGACATCTTTTTTTTTTACTTTAGTAATACTATTTTGGGGTTTTACTTGTTCTTAGTTAAGAGGAACCACTCAAGCGGCAAATGTTTATATCCGATAGATACTCTGAGAAATGGCAATGTTTGATAAGAGTTGACCTTTAACAAGTATTTGATAAAGACAATTTTTTTTATTTGAGGTTCGTGTTGTTAATTCTTGATATGATGTGAAGATCTACTGCTTCCAATGTCTATAATGATCTAGTTTTAGTATTGTTGTGCTTCAAAGGGCCTTCCATCTGGTCCTAGTGTCATTTAAAAAAAATCATTTTTTCTCCATTATCATGTAAAATAACCATCTTGATGTCTCTTTGAACCAATGATTGAAATATCGTACCGTACCGGAGTTTCGACGTTCGTTCGGTACGGTACGATACTGCATACTGAGCGGTATACCTATATATATATAATTCGGCGATGACGTCGCCTCTCTCTTCTCCTAAGCGGGGCGACGTCGCCGAGGTTACGTTGCCTCGTATATATATATATATATATATATATATATATTTCGTTCCGTTCGGTAACGGGTGGTCCGTGTACCGGTCGACTGACGGACCGGTATGTACCGCTCGTACCGGACGATATTATTCGAAATTACATACCTTGCTTTGAACAGTCCCTATTCAGGACTTGTGTTTTTGTCTAATAAACTAGCACAAATACTTGATGTTGCTGCGTTCATTATTTGTGTATCTGACTATCCGAGCCCAACAGTCACTGATGACTGATTCAACTGAGTTTGCAGCTGCAAACTCCCATGAACCAACTATGCTGTGTTAAATTTGATTGTCTATTTGTTTCTGGTCTTTTGATATTATCCACATCAGAAACTATTCTATGTGCTTTCACACACTTACATAATCTATAGTAATTAACTAAATGCAGTGTAACAAATTATTTGTCATTCCTCTCCCTGATGACAGTGGATCTATCCGATGGGAAGTTAAGTTAGAAGGTCGTGTTGAGTGTTCAGCAGCAATTACTGGTGATTTTTCGCAGGTATTTTTTTCTTTAGCTTTATTGAATTAGTCAGTCTGTACCTACACCTTTATTTGATATCTCATAAAGTATTTAATTTGCATTTGCAGCTTTATTTTCATCTCTAGCATGTAATTTGAAATATCTGACTTAATATATTTAAGTGTTTGTAGGTTGTAGTTGGATGCTATAGAGGAAAAATCTATTTTCTTGATTTTGTAACTGGGAACATATCTTGGTACTTTCAAACAGATGGAGAGGTAGAGCAACATCCTGTCAGTAGTACCTCAGAAATCTGAAGTTCATTGATTGATGAATTAAAACATTTTTTTATTCCTTTTGTAGGTTAAGATGCAGCCAATTGTTGATAAGACAAGAAACTTGATATGGTAATTTTAGATTTCTTTATTAAACTTAAAGATTAGGCTATACTTCCAGCAATTGAAGCAAGTAATGCCTTGCTTATTCCAGTTCCCTTTTCCTTTTGCATGTTTATATGAGTGATAGAAAATGAGAGTAAAGGACTTGATAGCAACCGCGGCATTAAGTTTGAATATTTTTAAGGAACTATTGGATCATGATTTTAATTTGAAAAAAATTTCTGTCATGGGTAAGTTTAAAATATTTTATGCCAACTGCTGAAGCATGTTTCACATGTTTTGCCTGGCACGCCATTATGCTGCTGGGATATAAGAGGGTAAAAATCATAAAACTGATCTTGATCAAAAGAATAAAAGTTAAGATTAGTACATAATGACTAATTTACCATCCTTGTATTCTCCTGCTCCATCTGCAGTAAGAGGCAGCTGACTCCTGCCCCAATGAGGAAGGGGCAAAGGAAAGGCAAAGAAGAGGCAAGAATCTTTTTTGGTAGCCTTGGGCATCTCCTCTGGACTGACCTTCTGATGTTTCTAAGGACAATGTAGATGCAACTAATTAATATCAGTGGTTAGCGGAAATTTGAGTGATTAAAGAATAGCAATGAGAGACTCCTAGCAGTTGGGATTTAAATAAAAAATTATACTGGTCAGATTCATCTAAGAAAGTTTGGTATTCCAAAGCCCTTCATCTTAAACCTTGGTCCAAAAAATTTAAAGCTGGTGCACTCTTTTTAGAGTCCACTTGTGTTTAAACCTTTTGATTACCTTAGGATTCATGAAGCAGTCCAGTTCTCTTTAGACCTCTTGGTACCCTAGGTTTCATAAATCATTATCCCAAAAGAATGATATTTTAATTAAAGTAACCTGAACTTACGGAAACCTGAATCCACTCAATAATCATTATTTCTATTACAAGGAGCCTTTTCGTAAACAAAATATCAACTTACACAGCTATAATTTGTCAGGATTAGACAATATTTTTATATAAATAAATTGAAGTTTTCTGACATGTTTTATTTTAATTGATATGTAGGTGTGGTTCTCAGTGAGGTTATTAGTTTACAAAGTTTGTTTTTTCACATGTTTTATTTTAATTGATATGCAGGTGTGGTTCTCATGATCAGTCTCTATATGCATTGGACTACAAGGAACATTGTTTAGTTTACAAAGTTTCTTGTGGTGGGAGCATATTTGGTTCGCCTTATATTGATGTGGTACATCAAATACTTCTTGAATAATTCATTATGTTTCTTACCTTGGATTATGTATCAAGAAAATGAGCTTCAGTCCTTTGTGGCAGTTGACATTTTTATCTCCAATCTTAAAAATGATTACTGCTGCTCTTGGTACATTTAAATCTTACTCTTCTTGGGAATTCTAATTGAAGATTCTACAACCCCTCTATCTACCAAGGACTTTTAATTTTCTTATGCGAAGACTTCCTCCACATGCATTGGAATGGACCAGCCTTAAACAAAATCTTATCTGTTGCATTCTTTTGTGGATCGAATGCCTTCAGTACTGTCTGTATTTTTTATTATTTTTAGCATATTGAGATAGAAGGTATTTCTGTATTGTTTTTAAAATCTCAAATTTCATTCTCTGATTTCAAATAACATGTGAGAACTAGGAACCTTTTTATCAAGTAGGTTTTAGTGCTCTTGTAATCTTTTAAATTAAGAATAATTATGCCTATTCTGAATCTTGTCTTGTTTAGGAACTGCAAATTGAACTGCATGCCATCTTATTTTTAGGTACACAACATGATATATGTTGCATCTACAAGTGGCCGTGTGACTGGCATATCTTTAGCGGTATTGTATCAACCAATCTTTTCCTTTTAGAGAAACCTCAAAATAATTCAAAATATTCAGTTGAGGATGCTGATGTAAATGTTTGTGAACATATCAAGTTTCATGTTGTAGCATATTGTATTTTATGAAATGTTTTTGTAGATGTTTTCATATGTAAATCATAACTATTTTAGTCCTCTTCTGTAGATTGGTTGGTTTTTATTTTCTTAGTTACTAATATCCCTTTTTTTTTCTTATGTTCTTGCATCTTAGACCCTTGATTTTATATGTTCTAAGCCTGCAGGATACATTTTGATTTTGTTTCTTATACAAGTTTGTAAATTTTTTAAACCCTTCAATTATAAAATACTAAGTCGTTTACATACCTTTAAGTGAGACTTCGTCCGCCATAACTCTTTAGATCTCTTTAATTTACATATAATTCTTTTGAGGATCTGTTGATCAGTTACACAATAAATAATTCTTCTTATATTTTGAGTAATTTGCATTTTTTTCCACTTAGATCTTTGATTACTGTTACATTTGTTCATCTTATATTTTGCAAATAGGTCGTGAAGTCATTAAAGTTGACATATAAGCCTTTTTCTATCATTAGTTTTTCAAATACACAAGAAAATTTCTGTATAGACCTATTTTGTGAAACATTCTGTACAACTAGGTCAAATCTCATTCCCAACATCACTCAACATTTGTCAGATGTACTTTCATGCACTTCCTTTCTGGTTTTGCAATGCAATGATGCAGCAGAAATAGATTCCTTTGGATGAATTCTGATAATGTGACTACTATTTTGCAAGTAGCTAAGTGTACTCTTATATCATAAATAAATCAGGTAGTACCATTCAGTGTGACATGGCTTTTTGAGGCAGGAGTGCCAATATTTGGATCTCTGTCTATGGACTCCAAATGCAGAAATGGTACTGGTCTGTTTCTCTTGAATTATTTTTTAGTGATTTTTAAGTTTCCTATTATATTTTCATTTCCTTACTATTTTAACTCAAGAAGTGAATTATTTCTAATACTTTTGGCTGCTTTAACAGTTATTTGTTGCATGGTGGACGGTCATGTGCTCGCATTGAGTCCAGAAGGAGCTGTAGTTTGGAAGGTATTCCCGAAATGGCATTGCATAATGTTGTTGATATGCCACAGTTTTTGTAATGCATACAATGATTTTTTTAATGCCACTCTTGTCTAAAATAATTATGCTTCTCTTTTTTAGTTTCTGAATATCAGTTTGCAGAGACTAAACTAATATGTATATGTAAATCTATATCCTTTTTACTGTACCATTTGTGCAATATGATAAAATAAACTATTCAAAAGAAAGAAGAGCATCTGCACTATTTCTATCAAAGTTATTAGGTAGCATATAGAAAAATTTCATGATTAGATATGTGCTGATGCTGGTAGTGATTTGGAGTTATAGACAAAAACAGTAGATGTAGTTAAGTGTGGGGACTTCAATTTCGCTCCAATCAATCCATACCAGCTAGTATTTACTGGTCCCAGCATGAATTGGGGATGCAGCGGACCTTCCTATTTCGGGCGGTCCAGTCTGATCTTTTAATTCAAGTGCTGTGTTTTTCCTTTTCTATTAAAGTTGGGCAACATGCTATGGTTTTCAACTTGCGAGCATTTACTTTGCGCTGTCGTTGCTCAATTGCTGCTGCCTGCCACCTGTCTCATCTTCGATGCATCTCCTCATCGTCATCCTCTTCCTTCTCCTTCCTTTTTCCTTCTTTCTCCTTCCATCTTTCGTCTTTTTTCCATCTCCCTTCTTACTTCTTCCTCTTCATTCTTTCTCCTTCCTCCTCCCTTCTTCTTCCTCTATGGTCGTCTTTCTTCTTTCTCCTTCCCTTAGTAGAATGGTATTAAGATACATTTTGGCATACTGTATGTCGGTACACCCAAATGGACTGGACCTGTACTTGTCCGGCCATGGACCGGCAAGGGTCTGGTACCATAAATTGAAAACTTTAGTTAAGTGGTTGTCATTTTATACAGATCCTGTACACAACCTATAAGGAGGCAGGTTTTGGAACTTAATATACATGAAGACTAATGTTATATTTTTGCATTTTGTTTTTCTGGTGGTAACAAATCATTTATAAGCATAGTCATGCTTTATGATGATTTTTAATGTTGTTTTTCCTTGTATTCATGAGGTGTAGCTTAGTGGATGGCTATTCAGCCTATTTTTAAAGTGTATGCTTTTAGCATCTAATGCTTGCCTTTGGATTGGCTAATGTTGCTTATTTTGAGTCAAATAATTTTGACAGATGTAGCTAGATCTTTCCAACTATGACTAGCCCTATTAGGTTCTCTATGTTCTCTCCTGGCTAATGTTGCCTTCATTTTGAAAACTTGGCTAACCATCTGGGTTGCAGGCATTAAAAAGTGCAAAACCTTGGTCTCATTGTTTGTATGTTATCAGGCTGTTGTTGGTGGTCCAATTTTTGCTGGAGCTTGCATTTCCTCTGTTCTTGCAGGCCAGGTTTTTGTTCTTTGCTGTGTTTCATTTTATTTTTATTAACAGTTTCAAAATACCAATTTTGTTATCGCATATATTAATTTTTTCATTTGGAAAAGATTGATATGTTTAGTCTTCACATGTCATAATGGTCTGCTGGATGCAAAGATCTTGCTGATCCTTGGCCTTCATGACTTTGACAAAACCTGACACGTATTGGTGCATTACAGTGTACCACCAGCAAACCTTGCCAATAAACTCGCACTGACATGGTAATAATTAGTGAACATGCTGTTCGGTTTTTGAATTTTGAGTTTCTTGATTGATTTAACGGACTATACGTTGTAGAACAGTTCAAAGAAATTTTGGATTGTCACATCACTTGGTCGGTGAGTTTTGAGATTTTCTTGTGGGCATTCATGTGGACAAAGATGCAATGTCATCCCTGGAGCCTGTCCTCTCTGCTGTTACCTATGTAACTAATGTTTGTTAAAAGTGTCACGTAGAAATCCATTATCTGACTCATATAATGCTTAGAGAAGAAAAAATACCAATGAGATTTGCTGAAGGATTTCATGATCTGTTTAGTCTTGAACCTAGATTTCCCTTACTTTCTAGTGCTAAATATAAGTAAAAAACATAAGACACCAGCAATAGAAATTTTTGGTTGATACATTTATAATAGGTTTTTGTACTCATGTTTGGCTATATCAGCCTCGGATTCTCTTGATTGAGCTGCACTTACGTGTACCAACCCTTATCAGATGGTATGGGCATGATTTAATTCAAAAACAGCTAACCAGGCTCATAAGTACATTAGTTTGGTTCACTTTAACACAGGTTATTGCTGGCTATTAAGTACCAGTGTGTTAGTCTCTAGATTGGGCACCCATGTGATTGCACATGCTATGCGCTCAAAACAACTATCTTTAGATTTGTAGCACTCAAAAGTGCCTATCTCTTATAGGTGGATCTTGAAAATTTGCAACATTTGAGTAATACATAATTACGCATTATGAAGGTAGAATCAAGTAAGCTCATGGATCCAACATAATTCATGAATGATCAACATTATTTCTAAATTAAGTGATCTACTACATGCATGTACGTGTACTGGTTTGTGATTGTATATAAATGTAGTTATAAACATATGATATAGGTGCATAGACTCAGCCTCGTGGGTCTTGTTTTCTTCTTAAGCTATTTGTAATTTTGTATAGGATCCCATGTGTTCAATTATAACAACTTGCTTTGTGATGCCATTTATTTGCCATAGTACACTCTAACCTATGGGTATGGCAGTTCATGAGATGGAGAGTTGACATTGTGGGCAATTCAGTGGTAGCAACATGATTTATATTTTACTCCTGTGACCAATCTAGTTGGAAGTTCATTAGGTAAGAAAGTAGTGAAATATTATCAATTTTGGAGTTCTTTTATGAATAAAGTTATTAAGGATTATGTATACATATACATGAATTATGTAGTGATGGTTTAACTGGAACAAAGATTTATCCAACAGATATTAACTGATGGAGGAGACAGATCTATCCAACATATTCCTATGTTTTTTTATGTATCTCAATAGTGTCAAAAGATCTTTGTAGTTGATCTCAAATAGTTGGGACTTTATGGCTTTGTTATTGTCGTTGTATATTACTGATGGAGGATAGCTAAGAACATAAAATAGCAGCATAAACCTTTCTAATATAGGAATCATTATCCAATCATTTCAGAATCTACAAACAAACAATATAAATAAAAGAGAAATGGAATTTCAGCCAGATCTTTTATAGGGGATATCACAATCTTTTGCAACATCAAACTGGCAAGCATACAACAAATTTGGTGTGCCAGCAATCGTGAAATATTTGGCTGGATTGGAACTTTTTTTACAAAATTGCTACAATTTAACTTTGATCATTTGTAGCATATTGCAAAAGAATATGTTGATTATATAAATTTCTTTTTACTGTTTGAAGTAAAATGAATAATTCTCTTATTATTTTTGCTTTAATTCATTTGCAGATTTTGGTTTGTTGTCGAAATGGAAGCTTATACTCATTTGATTTGGTAAGCTTTGATGTTCGACCCATATAAGAACTAGCCAATAATAAGTTGATCAAGTGACCATGCAGCATCAGATTAACATGTATTTCACTGGAAATTATTCAATGATGCACTTCTTTCATTTATATTTGAAATTTTTCATCTTAACTAATTGGCAACTTAAATTTTCTGCAGCTCTGCTAGACTAGTTTGTTCAACCTATATATGTAGAATTGATTCTTGAACTTATAGAGATGCTTTATTAGGTTAGGGATTTAAATTAGATGAGGTTTAGATCAAATGTCTGAACTGTAACTTTAGAAATAAAGAAATAGAAGTGTAAGTTGAAAAGGTGATGAAGACAACAAAGATGACAAGCCATGATATCCCAACTATTTGGGGCGGCTGCATGGATTTGTTTCCCACCATTGAACTTTGTGTGAGGCAATATCTCTAGTTCTGTCGAGCATTTAAATATCTCTTTATTTATTTCTAGCCAAGTTTCTTACGTCTCATCCTACTCTTTATGCCACTAATTTTTATTTACTTGCATTGTCTATCATAGCATCCATAGGTTTTCCTTTTAACACGTCAATGCTATCTTAGATGACTTTTCCTCATTGTGAAATTCAATAGAGTTTCATGCTGGTTGTTAGTGGCCCAACACAACCCCTCATTCTTTTCTACATCAGATTGACATTAGCGGTGTTTGAAATGGTTGTTAAGACATTAAAAAAACTAGAAGTTCATATCTTGAGTCTACAGTGTTTGAAATGGTTGTTAATACATTTCAAAAGCTAGAATTTCATATATTGAGTCTATACCTTATTTAGAAGGAAAGATCTGAGATTGATGTGTCCTGCTGGTTAGATTGAGTCTTTTTCTTCTTTAATTAATTTAGATTTTGGTTAGGTTTGAGGGTCAACCTTGGTGTCATGGTAAGATTATTTTTTGTGACATATATAACTAGAGCTCAAGATATGGGAAACATTCTCTTCTTGCAAGGTATGAAAGTGTCAATTAGTAGAAGCTAAAAGCACTAGACCACCCTTATCCATAGAGTTCTAGATTAGTTGAATTTTCTTTGATGGTCTACAAGTAAAGCTGCACATAGCCGAAATATGAATGTTTTAAAATAATTTAAATGCAAGTTATGAGTTCAGTGCCTGTTGTCATTCCTTGCTCTATTCTTGTTACCCTCTCCTCTGTGCCTGCTTATCGCCTGTCCAAATTTTAATTGTATCATTGTTTCACATCAAAGACTATCAATTATCTGTGTATCTTGAATGTGTTGGTTATCAGCACCTAATTTTGCCTTTTGGACAGCATTAGCACTTGACCATGCCTTTTATCTATTTAATGAGTCCCATGTGGTGGATTTGTGTACAATCTATATTAATTATATAATTGGTGGAAGACGAACATAAATTGAAATTAACCAGTTCATGTGCGAGGCAAATGACCAGGATCAAGGACAGACCAGAATCCCTTGTCCAACATGAGGGTACTCAACTTCATTTGCTGCCTTTCAGGTAGTTTAATGTGCTTGTTTAGACACCATAGGAGCTGATTTAATTAGTTTCAACCTGCTAAGATACAATTCTTACGTTATCTGATTCTTGATTAGTTTAGAGTATATTCTTTTCTTAAAAATAAGAATACAAGATTGTTAAGGGAAATCTCCAAATCATGATTGCCTGACGTATATTAAAATGACAATATCATCGGACCTTATCAGTTTCGTGTGCCGTGTTATAGGAAGGAGCTACACTCTGGGAGTACCAGATTGGAGATCCAATCACATCTTCTGCCTACGTTGATGAGCAAACCGAGTTGATATCAGAATCATCACGGCCACACGAGAGGTATGCCATGATCTGTTGTGCCGTACTCAAGGGGCTTCTATTTCTGAGGATAAAATGAACAACATCTGCAATTTCAGGTTGGCTTGCATCTGCGGCAGCTCAGGCAGTGTTCATGTCATCAGGATTAGCACAGAGCCGAAACGTGGGGCGAGCACAACAGATGAACTTCCACAAACTCCCATGGTGGAAGAGTTTGCACGCATTGACCTCCCAGGTGACATATTCTCTTCGCCTGTAATGATAGGAGGTCGCATCTTCCTCGGGTGCAGAGATGATTATGTTCATTGCATCGCAGTCGTTCCCTAACCGCATTCGGCCATACATACATACATTGATTAGATCACCAAATGCCCCCCTGTTCCTTCTGTTCCCGACATTATCGTCATGGAGGAGGGTTGTTTCTCCGCTGTGGTTCACCTGCCACAAAAACATTGTTTCTTATTCGGGTGATTGTCATCAGAAGAAGGAAGAGGGAAGATGGGAAAACTGATGTAAACTGTGACTCAGACAATTACCTCCTCTCCTGTCCAAGGAATGAAGGGTTAAACTGTTGGATTCTCCATTTAGATGGGAGATGAGGAATTTATGGATTCTTCACATTCTTTTAATTAGTTTTTTTATTATTTTTTTTAAAATATAATAATATTATTAAATTTTAAAATAATAATAAAGTTTATATATCATAATGATATTTAAATATAAATAAAAATATTTGATTAATATTATATCATTTGGTTCAATTGAATCAGATGACTCGTAATTATTGAGTCACAATCGATTCAACTTAAGCTCAATCCAGGTGGGCGGTTGGTCTTTCCAATGCAATGTATGAGCTTTGAGCCTAATGCCTCGACTCAAAAGATATTGTCGATAGGTGGGTTACGAAGAGGGGTGAGAGTGCTGTTTTATTATCCCATAATAAAAAATGTTCATCCTCCATCTCCGTTTCATTCCCTGGGTGATTGGCACCTCCATCAAGGTTGATGATAAATAAATATAACCCGACGACTTTTCAGGCGTTGACTGTCCAAATCGATTCTTCTTGGCAATACAATAAATATCAACGATCACATTGCAGATTACAAAGCAACCATCTTTAATTACCTTGGAGATGCTATCTTTGAATGTTCGGCCGTTGTTGTCGTTGCTCGTGATCCGATGTCTTCGTTCACTGTTTGCCCTGATTTATGTTATGACGTTATAATCCGCAAGCTAAGCGCCATCTTACGATGTAGCAGTGGGGATGTCACACCTTTCGTAGGTCCAAACCCTAGAAAAGTCCAACAAAGACAGTAATTTCGACATCGAGTGGCAGAGGGACTGCTTCATTGTTTGAATTCAGAAGATAGCGGGGATCTCACACCCATCGGGTCCGCCCTTAGGTCCAAAACCCTAGAAAAGCCCAACGAAGATGGTAATTTCGACATAGAGTGGTAGAGGGACAACCGATAGTGCCTTGGAATCCGAGATCTCCTACAATATAGTGAACCTGAAAACGAGAGAAAGAGAGAGAGAGAGAGAGAGAGGTGCTGATCACGTAACGGGAGGGAGACGAGTAGCAAAAACAAAACAATGGGGAGAATTGTTTGTAAAGAACATTCTGATTGATGTGGAGGTACTTTCGTAGTTCAACTTGTGAAATGACAATTTAGCCACAACACTCAAGCTGGACTACAATGATTTGAGCAAAGCTGTATTCATCAAAACAGATGCTCGGCAACATGGGAAAGCAATCGTACATAAGAAAGAAACCAAGCATCACCACAGGGACTTGAGAGCATATTTTGCTGAAGAGAATATTTGCTACACCTTTTAAACACTCATAAAATACTGCCAAACGTAAAGTCCACATTTGGTAACTACAAAAAAAAATTCTATAGAAGACATGTCTACTAAAATACAAGAAGCAGAGAAGTTGAGACTTGATGACTATGAAAAATACTGTAGACAGATGGCCTCAAATTCACATCTAACTAGTACAAACAGCTTGTCCAATATACTACCTTCCATCATATGCATAGAACTCTCCCCCTCCCACCCCACCCCTCTTCCTCCTCTGCTGTGAACCAACCATATATGTCCAATGTAATCAGTAAAATAAAAAAAATTATAAGAATAAAAACTCCCACAAAGAGTAAGAAGAAAGCCATGGCAGCCTGCTACTCTTTCTTAGGTTGCTCATTTGTATCTCCTACAAAGTGGCTAAATGCAGGACCAGTAGCATACGAGAACTCTTCCATCATGACGATCCCCATCTTGCCAATCTCAGACTGCAACATTGTGATGAATCAAGGAAAAGTGAAGGATCCACCAATCTGTGAATTACCACCAGATGGGGGACTAATCGCAACCCAAAGCAGTGATATAGTGATAGAAATGAGTCCAGACCACACGAAAACAATGGTTGGCGTCCTTCCTCTCCGTCCCATTAAACCTTTAGCAAACGGGTATAAATGCGCCAACACCCAAAAGCTGAAGAAGACCCCGCCCAGAAGCTTGCTCCACTGTGGTATGGTACTATATATAGTACGGCTAACTCCCACGGCGATGGCTATTAAATTCATCATCATGATGGTGATGGGTGGTATCATCAGTGAGGTCCACTTCACTATATAGAGATCAGCAAATTCATCATCCTCATCATCTCCTGCTGATTTTGATGTGAGGGTGAATGAGATCTCAATCCCAGCAATCACCTTAAGCAACCCCTGGAGCACAGCTGCAAGATGAGCACTGGTTCCTCCTATCAGCCAGAACTGCTCATTTCGCCACCATTCTTCAAGTTCAATTCCAGACCACTTGATCTCAAGAACCGCGAGCATACAGAGTGTCAATGTGATGATCAGAAGGTATGTGAGGAAGGTCACATTGAGGGTTTGCACAATGAACTGTCCCGTGAAAAGAGAGAGCGCGGGTAGGAAGCAGTAGACAATAAGAAAGATGGAGGTAAATGGGTATATCCCGACATTGAGGTATGCAATCCTTTGAAGAATCTTCATTCTTGGACTTGCAAGAAGTGCATTGTTACGGGAGAAGAAAATCTCAACAGAGCCTGTAGCCCACCTGAGAACTTGGTGGAGCCGATCGGTTAGGTTGATTGGAGCAGTCCCACGGAAGGCATCAGGCTTGGTCACACAGTATACTGACTTCCACCCTCTGTTGTGCATCCTGTAGCCAGTAACGACATCTTCAGTCACTGACCCATAGATCCATCCGACACGCTGACCCCACTCAGTCTTGTCTTCGTACCAGCATGAAATAACACTGATTGCTTCAGCTACAGTGGATGCATCAAGAAGGTCACGAGGAGCGGTTAGGAGACCAGGTGCACGACCATTCTTAACAGCTGGATGATCAGCAAGAGGGCGTCCTTGGAACTCAGAAACAGGAATGGAGTCAATGAGAAAGGTTGAATTTCCAAATTTCTTAGGAAAAGTAGACATGGCCATCTCATCATCTTCAGAGTCTCCCATGCGAAGAGCCCGTGTCTCTTCAGATGCCACAGCTGCGTGAGTCTTGTGCTTTTGGGGAAAACAGCAGCTGCAGCATCCACCATGTTGTTCTTTGGATCGAGGAGGATCAAAGCCATAGAGAGCAATACGTCGGAAAAGGCAGCCAGTACCAACATAAACTGGCCCCTGAAGGCCATCAAGAGCTCGCATGTTGACATCAAAGAAGACTGTGTTGTTGTTGGCATAACGATCAGAAGGATCTATGCCCTCAAACCTCTGAGGAAACTGGACGTAGCAGATGCGGTCACCACCACGATCCATCATGAAGCACATGCCCTCTCGGAGGGCCTGCGAGTTATAGACATAGTGGTCGCAGTCAAGGTTGAGAATGAAAGGGCCATTTGACATAATTGCTGAGGCACGAACGAGAGCATTCATAGCCCCAGCCTTCTTGTTGTGGTCATATCCTGGACGCTTCTCACGAGAGACATAGACCAGCATGGGAAGACGAATATCTATATCAGTGAAATCTAGTGGCCTACCCTCTTCGTTGTTCCCAAATAATGGTTCATGACTTGGAGGTTTCAACATTACCTGCAACAAAGATAGATACGTGAATATAGTGACTTCTACTTTCTAGTTTGTCTGCCTGTTATTAGCTATTAAATAAGATTAATCATGAAGCTTGAAGCAAACAGCATAAAATAGTAATACTAACACGAATAGATATAATTTTGACCTAAAATTAAACATCAACAACCAAATTAACACCTATGTTCGTAAAAAACTGGTGCTGCCAGCAAACTCAAGAGAAAAGATTGACATATTAAAAAACAGGGCCAGAACTGGTGAGAAACAATTGGCAGTGATATGATAAATCTATTACGAGCTAGAGAAAGATGCAAGCATGAAAGCCAAGAGAAAAGGAAATAAAGAATAACTGCACAGACCATTGATCTCAAACTTATGGTGTTGCCTGTTTTTTCTCCTATATTTTATCCAGCATCAAATCATGGGGGATAAAGACCACAAAAAAAAAACAGATTTCATCAGACATGTGACAATTTAACAGCCTGATGAACCTTAAACAGATGGATAATGGACTCTGTGCATGAAGGTTAAAAACAGAAAATATGCATCAATGTGACCAGCTTATTTGCAAAAACAGTAGTACTTAGAAACACAATACCTGAATGATTCCAGCATGATCACCCCGAGTGTGCTCCGATGAGGGGTTCATCCAAGTTCCAGGCCAGTGGGTGCCATCGGCCATCCATGTAGCTTTAGGAATCTTCACGGGTTCTACTGGATCATCACCTGCAACCTCCCTTTGTCGTTTCATTGCTTTGATCTCTTCACGTGCATGGTATGCATCAGACCGCCGTCGGATTGAATCAGGCAACCCATTGATTCGAACCTTGAATTCATCATACTCTCTCTTTACCCGCCTCCGGTCTTTGACAAAGTCAGATCGCACCTTGTTCTTGTATGGATCTCTCTTCAAATTAAAGTAACTTTCTGGGTTCCTAGGCTCAACACCATGTTTACGGCAGAAAGGAACCCAGATATTGGCGAAGCTAGCAGCCTCAGCCATTGCTTCAAAAGTCAAAAGGGCACCACCATCATCTGAAACATAGCATGCTAGCTTTTCTACAGGGTAATCAGCAGCAAGGATGGAGAGTATGGTATTTGCCGTTACAAGTGGAGGTTCTTTCTCAGGGTCCGCTGTGGAGACAAAGACATCAATACCTGGAAGATCAGATTTTCCACTAGGGTTGTTTGCCGAAGGAGTCTCAAACTTTTCCCTTAGAATGGCGAGGTCAGCAGCACGGTTCACAGGGCAGAGTTTTGGGAGTTGATCCAACAGCCAGGAAAATGCGAACCACAGCTCACAGACGACAGACATCCCCCACAGCCAAACTGCATCCTCATTTTTGTGCTTTATTCTCCATGCAAGAAACAGGGCAAGAAAAGCCATGCGGATAACAATGAGGAGCCTGTAAGCCAGAAATCATAAAATCATGATCTTCCTAATTATAAAGACAATGTGGTATTCGAAGGATGTAAAGCAAACTCAAATAGGATTCAAACAAACAGTGAATGTATTATGACGACCAGGAGGATATATATGACACAAATATAACAATATGACCATAGAAAACAAGTTTGATTATACAGCAACAAGTGCTGATCATAAAATGACTTGACTAGAAGAGCCAGCCCACAAATTTGTTTGTGCTTTCCAGTGTACAACCAATTCTCGGGAATAATGTGTCTGTGCTTTCCTCTTCCTAGCAAGCTCAATTTCTAGAAAACTCGGTACGTTGATGACTTGGATGATCAAAATTCTCTTTCACCAATGTCATGATTAATCTTGATATAAGCATACAAAGATGTTATATCTACAAAGTTTCAGAGACAATTTCCTCTGCCATATATGTAAGCTACAGAACAGATAAACTTGATTTCTGGGTATTAGACATTGTTTCTACCTAACAAAAAAAATGAGCAATTTGAATAACCATCACACAAGTCAAAAGGAATTGATAGAACACAATTCAGATATCATACAAAAAGAACAAAGCAGTAGTTGTGGTTACCTATACGGACTTAATACTGCAGCAGGGATCTTCAACTTTCGAGTGAGTGGTCTCCATGGTTTGTTCATCAGTTCTGTAGGCTGTTCATTTCCTCCATCCCCCCCTTCACCTCTATCCTCCGTCGGCCAAATTGCATTACCGTAGCCATAGGTCCCCTTCGTCTCAAAGAGCCAACGGTTGTGATCCCAATCACCCGTCTGACTTCTGGTCATCTTCTGTGACCTCATTATCGAAAGCCTCCTCTCCATCTTCGACACTCCATGTGGAGCTGGCAGCGAGAGCGGTTGTCCAGCCACAGCATTGTTGACCACCTCCTCCAATTCTGTAGTCTTGTATGGTTCTTTGCATCCTGGACAGATCCCGCCACCAACCTTCACTGCATCCGAAAAGCACTCAGCACAGATCTTGAAGTCGCACTCACAAGGGAGGATATCAACCCCTCGCTCGTCGCTCATGACCTTTGAGTCGCATCCCGGCATAGCGCAAGATGAGCCCTTGGCACCAGCCATCTGTGGATGGTTGGCCACTGACTCGATGACCTTGTCCATCAGATGAGCGCGAGTGACACTGTTGCATCCACCGGTAAACAGTGAATTCGAGACGTATTGCTCTTCAACCTTGGCAGAGATAACAGTATCCATCGGTTGGTTGTCGGGAGTCGGCGGGATGTGGACATGATAGTTCATGTATTCCTTGTCAAAATCACGGCTGCCGAAATCACTGTCAAGATCGTCCCTGGAGTAGCTGACGTACCGGCCCGACGGAGTCCGTCGGGCAAAGGTCACGACGGGCGCATTAGGTGGTCTACCATCGCCCTGCTGTGAATCGGATGACGAGGCTACCCGCACGGATCGACTGGCCCTAAGAACATTGTTCGAAGTCATGGCCCCTTGCCAGATCGAGAAAGAAAACAGAGATCAAGACCTGCAAAAGAGGAAATTGGAAACCTCGAGTATAAATGGTGTGAATCGAACGTCATTGCTTGGAGGAACAAAAGGGATCATAAAAGATCCAAGCTTTCTCAAGAGAGCATCTTGAACGGAGATCGGAGAACGAGGAAGAGGACCCAATGAGCCAAAACGCCTCAAAAGAAGAAACGCAACGGTTAGATCACCTACCTCCCCACTCGATGCTTCTTCTCCGAGAGAGAGAGCCAGAGAGAGAGAGAGAGATAGAGAGAGCACGACGGGTCTTTAAAGACAAAGTGTCCGAAAGAACGTCCGATTTGACACCGACTCCGACTCCGACTCCGACTCGGACAACAACGCGGAACAGTTCAGCCCCGTTTCCTTTCCATATTTTCTTACGAACTTGGTCAAAAGGGGAGGCGACGCTGTCAGGAAGGGAGTTCACCGGAGGCTGCCACCACCAGAACGTCACCGTCGCGGAGCGTGTGGGTGTTAGGGTTCGGCCGTGCTCTTGGTGGAGTGACAGAGAAAAGAGGAGGGAGAAAGGAGCGGCGTCTTTCTTTTATGGAAAGGATGAGAATTAAAATAAGAAATATTTCCTTACAGTAAAGCGACGAGGAAGCCGAGAAGAACGCGCCGTCGAAATCACATCCGCTGTCGGATTCGAACATGAAACACGATTTACTCGCGTGGCAACCACTCGATCGACGACAACTGGATAAGTGGGTTTGAAGAAGAAAACACCGGTACGATCAGCTCTTACGTGTGACCACGCACTGGCTGAGATAAGACCGCGCATCCGTTAGATCACCAAAGATCCGTCAGCGTAAGATTTTTGCGTATAAAAAGAGCGTCAACATAGCAAAGCTCGATTCCCCGATTGTCGGGGCTCAGCTGTACACTCCGAGGCAGCTTCTATCGCTGCTAGCGGCTGCTTTAAGGTGGACCCCACGAAGATAAGGGGTAGATGCACTGCCACGTTCGAAGACCAGTGCTAAAGCTGTCCGTTTGCGAACAGCGGAGCGGGTCCAGGGGTGAGACGGAGAGGAGCGTAACAGTCGGGTTGGAGAGTAGCTGTCATCAATCCATGTGCGAAAGCCGTCCGACGCCAAGCGAACGCGTGGTCAACATCAAGACGTTGCCGTATGGTTAGGAAACTTTGGGCACTACCAGCAATCCTCATGTGAAGTTGGCTCGGTCGCACTGCCTCGCCTGATTCCAACCTGCCATACATCAATGGATCTTCCTGCCACAAGTTACGCTTCACAGCCCGTTTGGCACGGCATTAATTGGGAGAAGTATCATGAAATCTCGACCAACATTCTCGAAATCTCGGTCTAAGATTTTGATGATCTCATTATAAATTAATTATATTCTATTTTTATTGTTTATAGAATTTTATACATCCTATTTTAAATTTCAAACGAGAGGAGGCGGTCTCTTAGCATTGGTGGCTTTCCGACAGCCAAAGCTTCACGAAACGCGCCACGGTACGTCGGTGGTCCCACCTTCACATGCCGTTGATCGTGTAGAGGGGCCCGGTCTGACATGATACGTGTAACGCCAAGAAACGCGGCTCCCACGCGCGTAAACTTTTCAAACTTGGGAGGAAAGCTGCGAGGGTATTGTCGTCATTTGATGGACGAGAGTGGGGCACGTGCGAGGGGCGTGCACCGACCGCCGGGGCCCATGGCGCGAATTGAGGAGCGACTAACGGTGTTTGTGCAAAGTATTTCCGGTGAGAAAAAAAATATTATAAATTCCTCTAAAACCAATGATTTTTCTGTGTATCTCTCTATGTTTATATCCATACAAAACACATAATCTTTTGATATTTAAAGACACAAATATATTAAATTATAATTTGTAATGTAAATATATTTATTTTTAATTTCTGGGGGATGAATGTTCTTCATAGATTAAACACCGACACGAAAAGGAAGATTGACATCTTCTCACCTAACAATCTCGGACCTGATTTGAATAAACTAATTGTAATTATAATAGATCCGATCCGACTAAAGACGGATTACGGAGAGCATATATTGGTTCCGAGGAGATTATCGGATCCTGCATCTAAATCCGACACCCAACATGAACCCAACTCGGTCAACGCATCAAGTAACATGTCTATAATTTGATTGGTTTCGGAAATGTATCATGCTTAGCTAATTAGATTGACATTGAGGCCATCCCCAGTATCTAACTCTGCTCAATGCTGAAGTCCACATTGATGTATTATTCTATTATCTGGATTTCTAGATGGAAGGAGACGGTTTCTTGCTCCCACAAGCATTTGACTCAAATCAGCAAATACAATTCTTGATATCCTTTTTCTTTCTTGTTGTTTTCTCCTTTTATGCAACCATGTCTCACCAACTCTTCGAGATAAAGTGTCCAAGAGAGGACAGTTTGGTTTTCCTGTATCTTTCAGCTGCATGAGATGACATAAGAATGGCAGAAACATGGAGAAGAGTAGATGAAAAATAGGAGATGAAAGAGATGGCTGCTCAGCATCACCGGCAAGCATAAACAAGGCAGACCAACTAACACTCAAAAGATTCCAATAAGAACACACCTCTAGCCACTTCATATTCTCTTCCACAAAAAGAAAAGGTGGATTAAGGTCATAAATCTGTGTTTTCAGGCTCATGTGTAGGGAGAAAACTAGACAGAACAATGATGAAAGGCATGTGAACTTGTGGCAGATGAATTTCGATAGAGGATCTACTTTGCCCTTGGAGTTCAACTGTTGAATCTTGATAACCTGAACTCCGATAAAAGAAGAGAAAACTGATTATAATCCTAGACTACTTTAGCTTGACAATGTACAAAATAGAATCTACATCTTTATGAATATATTTCAAAATGAAATGGGCCTCTATTTTGCTGGCATGCCTCAAATAAGCTCATTCTCATTCAAAAAAACTATGAAATGAGTCTCTCTCTTTTTTTTTTGTTTTGACACTAGAACCTCAATTTTTTTTTATAAAATAAAGAAACCTTTCTTGTCGGCCTGTCTACTGAGAAATAGTGTAATTTTGAGAAATCACTGACCAAGCAGATGCAAAGGTATGCAGCTATTCAGTTTTTAAAGCCTTGAATCCTCAAATATGCTTTAGCCTTGCCTCTCCACAGCCGCACTTCTTGCACTAAGTTGGTGACTCAAATTACTGACAAACTTTTAATGTGTCATCTGCTGCAGCTGGAGCTTCTCAATACCATGAAGACATCTTCAACTCTTACTAAAATTTTCTGCCAGAACATTCAGTTGTACGTCACATTCCGAGGAGGACCACCATACTAAGAGGAAAGAGCGGCATGTGGCAACGTGCAACTATACTCATGGAACCAACATGTAAAGCCACATGAAGATATACGTGCCCGAAGAATTTAAGGATAGTGCTTGTATTTGAACAATGTACAACAAGATACTCTTAAAAATAAATCCTCCTATATTCATTTCGTAAAAGTATTCAAATTGATCATAAGCCCTCGGTATGGTCGTCTTTCAGAAAATCCTCAGGCATGAGTTTTGCAACCAAGCATAAAACAGATTCTGCATCTTGGTAGTAAGCCTTGGTAAAGTGGCAAAAATCCCAATACTCAGCCTGCTGGGAAATAAAACCAAATGACTATCTCTTGTTGGCACAAAAATTGACTGCTGGACATTTATCAGTCAAGTCCATTGTAGCACCTCTTAATCTCTGTCTGGCAGCCACATCATCCAGCATCATGTAGATCTTCTCCATCTCTCAATTTGATATATTCCCAATTCTGAAGCTGTGAACAATCTCATTTAGATATACAAGTCTATCACTAGGCACTGATTTAATTTGTCAATCCCTCATCATCTCCTTCACCTTGTGAGCATCTTCCTATTCCCCTGCTGCCACATAGATATTGCTCAACAAAGACTAGCGAAAGCGATTTGAAGATTCGAGCTCAACCAATCTCTAAGCAATGCACTCCCCCAACTCAAATTCTCCATGATATCGGCATAACATAAGCAAACCTCCTAGCATTAGTGATTCTGCATCCTTGGGCATGACTCTTAATACCTGTTCCACTTATCCAAGAATGAGCAAATGTAGGTCTGAGACTATACAAGCTGGTCATATGCTCAAATTGATTCTTCCCACAGAAAATGTAAATTTCATCTGGTAAAATTTCTGTTGCTTCTACATGTGACCCATTATTAATTTTCACACAATCAATATGGCAGCCTGTATATAAAAAGTAGAACTGTAAGTTCTAGAGCTTAGTTTCAAACTAAGAAGCAAATGCGCCATGCCTACTATGAATGTAGTATATCAATAACTTATAGAATGTTAACAATGCCCATTTATAAGAATACTATCTCCCATGAAGCCATTTCTAAGTCATGATGGTTGTATCATCGAAAATTAGGTACAGCTATCATCGCTATGTGAAGATTAAAATTCCTTATGATTGTTGTCAAAAAAGAAAAGGAAGCAGTAATTTTGCAGACAGCCATATCTTTCCTTTTCCCACCATTTTGTAAAACAACGCAATCCCATCGAAAGCCAGCAGACTCAATTTCCGCTTTGGCATTTCCTCGAACATCCATCTTGCAACCTCAAATCTTCCACACCTGTAACACTTATCCACCTTAGCAGTCCCAAATATCATACAGAATTCCAAGTAATATATGCATGAAGTAATTTCCCTCCGATAAGCTTGCTTAACCTCCTACATGGTGTGACCACACTGACCATTGTCTTATTATTCCCCTTCAGAGGAAGCTCCAACCCCAGTTCGGGACTCAGCCCTTTTAAAAAGCCACCATCATAACATTCCAAGACACCACATTTCTGCCCGGCATTTGAACAAATGGCTCTCTTGCACACTCCAAATCGCCTGAGGTGACGTTACTCCACGATGACGTATCTTGGTGGGGCATCTCATCAAACAGCATCCGAGCGCAGATGACTAGGCCGCAGGCTGCGCACAAGTGGACGAGGGAGTTACGAGTGCAGACGACGGGGAAGGTGAGGCTACCGGAGGCAAAGCTGGAGCGACGGTTGGAGACGAACAAGGGGACCGCAGAAGGCGTTGGGGACAAGGGGGTCGCAGAGGAGCGGGAGCCTCCGAGGGGCGGGGGGGGGTGGCGGCCCAATCACGGAGGGGTGTCGGTCCGCGTTCGTTGGGCCTCCCGCCCATAGCGCAGTGGTTTGATTGGACCGACACGCAGGAGTTTATTACAATAGTATCGTACCGGTATAATGAATCACGGTTTTGAACACCCGATATAACGCTACGTGGAGCCAAATGTAACGCGTTATTGCTAACGACTCTTTTGACGTAACCATCATACGTACACACTGCTATGCGAACTGTGGGACTACGTGTGGTCACCATCAAGAAGAGAGAGAGAGAGAGGAGTGAGTTAGCTTCCCGAGGAGAAAGGGAAGAGGGTGAGATTAGAGCGAAGGAGATGCCTCTTCCTCCGTTAGAGCTTTCATTGCAAACGCATTTGACTCTAATGAAAACTGGAATAATTATCATTTTCAGAATTAATTTCCTATGGTGCGAAGCAATAGTTCTCACCGACGATGGGCGAGTCTCCATTGCTCTTACCCTGATGGACTTAGAGAGAGAGAGAGAGAGAGAGAGAGAGTTCTCTCCCATTCACCCTTCTGGCCACTGCAAACTCGAACCTCTCGGCCATTCCAATCAAGACCCGCCCTTCACCACCACACCCCCAGCTTCACCTATTCAACCTTTTCTGCGATGGCTCATTTGCTTCCTCTTCTTATTTTGCAGGATATGGGTTCATCCTTGCTGATGCAAGGAACAAAGAGATCCTCTCCATCTCCCCTCCACAAGCTGAGGGGTGCGCTCTCCTTGAAGGCCTCAAGGCTGCACAACACCTGAACCTATCAAGAATCAGAGTTTTCTCTGATTCACAGATCCTCATCAACAACCACAGTAGCAATCACATCTCCTATTATGCTAAGGCGGTCGATGTTATCCGATGGTCCCATATCAGCAAAAACTCCAACACCCCTGCACACAACTTAGCTAATTTTGACAGACAAAACTCTTGTGTTATTTGGAGAGCTGCTTCGCCTCCTGTCTCATTGGTTTTGAGAGGTGCCACACCGTCTAAGTCTGTGTTTTTGGAGAGGAGATCCGCCTCCTTTCACTTCTGTTTTGACAGGGATTTCATCTCCCTTGAACTCTGCAAAATAGTTTTCTTTAAATGAGAAAACAGGAAGAGACGATAGATAGCATAGAGCGTCGAGCCCGGGCTGCACTAACTCCATTAACTCAAAGGTCTGACCACTTGCCTGAACTGGAGCAGCACCCAAACACTATTCATGGCGTCAAGAAAACCTTGACCTCTTTGACCACCCAAAACGTTGGCTAAGTTGACAAGGGCAGACGTGCTACACCAACACTAGGCTACCATGTTTGCTCAGTGTTGACCGAGCACCAGCCAACAGAGAGGGAGAGAGAGAAGGAGATGTCAAGTAAAAGCGACACAAAGCGCAGTCAATGAGGGCAGTGCGGCTTTGCAGAGAGCCATGGGGAAGAGGCAACGAGCTGTGGGTGCTGGTGGGGGTACACAAGGCATGCAGGATGCGTCACCTCAAGGAGTCCATTCTTTGGCCGTCCCTCCTCTTGACAGCGTCGCTGACGGCTTCCCGAGGCATCAACTCCGAGGGAGCACCAGGCGCTGCATGTCCCCGATCACACGCTCGCTCACGCTGTCTCCGCTTGCCAGCGAAGAAAGAGGGGGCGGGGGGGAGAGAACGGACGAGGAGAAAGAGCTCCGGGAGTGGGACTGTAGGTAGCCATGTACTATGTGATAGGGTAATCATTCTTATATAATTTGCTGAGCTCCTCTCTGGTTTCCCTTCTGATCCTTCTAAAGTCAGTGTCAGAAAGAGACGGAAAGGATGAAAGATAGTCGGTGGAGAGAAAGAGAGGGAGAGATTTGAGTTCTTTCAGGGAGGGAGAAAGAGATGAGAAGGTAGAGATGTAAAGAAAAGCTGCACAGCCTTTGAAAAGAGCTCTTTAATCACCCCACTAGCTTTGATTTCCTTCTTACCCATATCAATTTTGTTGAACTAAATGGGAGGATTAAGACTTACAGATGATCAAGATGAGCATGAAGAAGAACTAATATAGAAGTCAAATAGAGGGAAGACTATGGTGTCAGAAAAGTAGGCTTGGGAAATCATAAAAGGAGAAGTAATTGCTCGAAAGTATGCAAGGAATAAAAAGTATTGCAGCCAAGATTCTGACACATCCATGGAACTCAGAGAGTGCTGTGCATGGGAGCAGAAGAACATCAACAAAAGCCAAAACCAAGTATGCCACCAATCTCGTGAGGATCCCTACCCAACTCACACATATATCATCTCACCAGTCTGCCATAAATTGGAGAGATGGATGACTCTGATCCATAGGAATTGGAGAGGCTCAACTTGATTTCTCTTGTTAGACATGCAATAAACATTTAGTTAGATCAACTATGGTTGTCAAGTATTTCTTCTTTATACCTGTATGCTTATTTTTAATATGTTTTTTTCTTTATTTTCATATAATCAAATGCAATTAATGTTAACATCTACATAGACACACACTGGAGTCCATCTAGAGAGATGGATGCCTTCCAAAAGATGCTGATGATAAAAAGGAGACATGAGGCACACATCAAGATGCTAATCTTTGTTGGTTAACATTTCTACTTTATTACTCATTGAGAGCATGTTTGGCTAATATAACATTTTTCATATTGGATGATGAATTCATTATCCAATAGAAACATGTGTACCAATTTAAACCAAATGTCAATGAGATCATCTTAATACCATAATTAATATTTTAAACCAAACAAATACTCTCTACCATCCACTAGAAAAAAAAGTCTGTTTAGATGACCTCAACTAAGAGTTCATCACAGATACTGCCATTAGCCACCTTAGGAAGGACTGCATAAAGGTCATGTACTCGACAAAAGTTCGGCTTGTTTCAGACTATGTGAAAAGTCATGTACATAAATATTAAGTTATGCAGACATATTTATGCCTTTTGATTGGTGTATAGAAGAGTCTTATGTTCTTGAGTGAAGGAACCATCAAACATGCATATCAATATAGGATTAGGTGACACAAAGTATTAATCAGTCAATTGAAGTCGAGCGAAAACAAATTACTAAAAATAAGAAATGTCGACGAGATGAAAATAATTTCTCTTATAATTTTAAAATTGCCATGGAAAAATTCCCTTGTGATAACATGAATTCATGAGGGTTTTCTCCTTTTGTGAATCATGAGATTTTATGGGCTCCTTGTGATGAGATCAGATTGACAACAGTTTCTTGGAGCCAGATAAACCCTAACTTTAACAGATCTTAAGGATTGAAATCCACAAAGTAATGCATATGCTTACCACACCATCTTGACTTGTATTTTGAGTCACTGATACACCATAAGAGAACATAGTCCTAGTTTTAAGCTTACAAGTCAAACAGATGAATTGCATGGAGTCATCTTATCTTCTCTTCTCTTAAGCTCAACTATCTCAGTCTCCATTTCTCTTCTGCAATTTACCTACGAGAGAGACTTTTTTGTGGAAAAGCTCATGCTAATGTGGTCTGCCCAATGTGATCTCAAGATTCGGCTTATTCGGGCTTGATGTCTCCGAAAGAAACGATGAATTCAATTCCAGAAACATTTCAAAGCTGTCTGATTGATCATCCTCCTGCAAAAGAAAGAAGAGAGACTACATCATTTTTGTTAGTTTATCTTGATATGATTCAGTGTTTTGCAAGCTTCAACCAAATAAAATCTCCAGCATTCATATGGAGGCTGCATGGACAAGTTTTACAGAAAATAAGAGACTTTTCCTCAAGAAAAGCTCCTGCTATAATGGGTTTTCTTGTCAGACAAAAATGCAAGCACAAGTTTATACTACTGTGACAGTTAAACTTTCATTCTTCGGATAAGTTCATGTGATCAGTAAAGGAACAAGTTTAGATACCTTATACTGCTGCATGCTCTCTGTAGTAGATTCTCTTGCTATTCCATTGTAGATGCTTCCTCTGTTGCAAAACAATCGCCGCACAGTATACATCAGCAGGAACAAAATCATGGACCAACAGTATGTGCTAAAGAAGCTTCCTTTTTGCTAGATTTGCAAGTATCATTTTAGCTTCACATATAGGGTAATTTATTTGCACTTGACTTCATTTGATGGGTCAAACGAGGATTCCTGACATGATGAATGTATGCAACACTCAGAACAGTTCTCTCAGAAGAGGCTGCATCTAGGGTTAGGTTAGAGAATAAGCCTCTTCACTCTCTTGCTGAAGGATCACATAATCTTGATGGGAAGAGAAGAGTAATGCAAGGGAAGCAACATTTTTGATATCTATGTACTCTCTTGACTTCTACAAGAAGCAAGCAGACTGGACAGGCACTGTTTGAAGCTTCTTTCTTTTGTGAATAAAGGGACTTATCTCATCATCATCATATCCATTAAATCCCTGAGGGAAAAACATACAAATAAAAGCAGAGAAGAATTTTGTCCACAAGAAATAGCCATTTTCATCCTAGTGAATGTTCATATATTCTATTGTTCTAATTTCTCTCCTTCACCCTTGTGACCTGATCACTAGTAGCATCTTGTGATTGGTGGAGGTCTTCATAATTCAGGTTCATCATTCGTGCTAACACATCAGTCGATGCACATCACTCGTATCAAACATGGATTTGGGAAAAGAGTTCAGATGTCTATGTTATGCCAGTTAATGTCTTTTCCAAAGTACTGATAGCTTGGAAGTGTGAGAACATGAAAAGGGCCACTCACCCATATCAAGTTGTAATCACTCGCTATGACATTACTAATGTACATAAATCCCTTTCCATCTCATAGCATATATAGTTCGAGATCATTAATTTGCATATCAAATTAGCAAACAGATGTAGGAAAACAATCAAAGATGGGATGATTTGCTACCTCGGGCGCGCACCGACATGGTCGAGTCTGTGTCCCCATGATTCTGATCGGTCGAAATCACGAACGCCTGCCGGGTTTTCATCGGAATTCTCTCTTGTTGATCCATTCTCAAACCCATCAGATTGACCTGGGACAGGAAGCAATCCTTAACACCATAATAATTGAGCAGATTTTAGGCAAGAAATGTGAGATCAGAATCTTCTCGACCTGATGGAACTGCTAATTTATCAGTGTTCTTCAGAGTTCGATACATCTGCAATGGCACATACATAACTATAAATGAGTAATGTTGGATAATCATTTTGTAAAGCACACCGACCTACAGTCCAAATTTAGTCATTCCAGTGTGTTATCAAGTGAGGTAAAAGTAGATTCAAGGTGTAAGACAAACATCCAAGAGACTATGGACAACAATGTACTTCATTTTAGCTTTGTCTAGGGTTGAATGCAACTTATTAGAGTAGCTTCCTGCACAGTTCACTGGTCTTTTCTTACAGTAGCATCTTTTTTTTTTCTGGTTGGAGTGTAAAAGCTGCCGCAATACATGCTGTGGAAAGAGTGATGATGAGGAAACACCAAGGAGGAGAACACAAGAAAAAGGAAGGGAGGTTTTCTGTAGGCCACAGGGTGCTTTTGTACTCCTGAATTTACTCAGAACTTGGCAAGTAAAAGGAAAAAGAAGATCAAATCTTGATTTCAGGGAAGAAGGGTTACCTGCAGGTGGGATTTCACATGAGCCAAGGTAAGATCTTTCACATCCATGAGCTCTAGAACTGACTTGGGTGTAGCTCCTGAACTCCAAAACAATTGAAGGAAGAGAAGTCATAAAAGAAAGGCAAGATCGGTCCATGCAAATGATATGGGAGACTCGTAGCATACTCTCATGGCCACCCAACAGCTCCACAGCATGGACAAAGCGGGCATGGAGTGCGGTAGTCCATCGCATCCTTGGCGCTCGCATGCTCCGCCTGCCGGGGAACCTCGACGGCAAGTATCTTGATCTCGACAAGCTTTGGCTGGCCATGAAGGGTGTGAAACCGTGGGTGGAAGAAGAAGGCCCACACAAGTGTTGCTGCTGATGCGGCGCGACTAAAGGAAAGGAAGGTGGATGTTGGTAGATAGGGATGCCTGTTATGGGTTTCATCCAGCTTTGATCTTGGTGACAGACCTCGGGAAGTGGTGGGTGGTGATGGCGGTGATCGACGGAGACGGCACCATTTGTGTTCGCCAAGGAGAGCTCAAAGGCGGCAGCGTTGGCGTTCGCTGCGGATGCAATGATGGGGTAAATGTAGGTTGTAGTGGTGGGGGATTCACACACGTCCCTCCGTCGAAACCCTAACTCCATGGTCTCATCTGGTTTTCTCCAACTTGGTGGTGTGGCATCATCAGAGCCGATCTGAAGCGACAAATCTGGTGCTGCTGAAAAGAGCTCCATTTGATCACCAAACTTCCTCCTCCTCCTCCTCTTCCTAAGGTTAACGCAATGTGTGAGCGAGTGAAAGAGTAGGAGAAAGAGAGTTGCTATTGTGAAATGATGAGGCTGTGGGGTATGTGTGTATAGGTATTTTAAGTGGCAGTGACAAAGAGTTGCAGTGGCAAAGTTGTCTTCTGAACACAATGTCAGCATGGAGAGTAAACAGTGTGTGGAGTAACAAGGCTTGATTCTTGGGTTGGGTTGTCTTTTGACTCCTGTGACAGAAAATGACACCTCAGAGAGAGAGAGAGGTTCCTTCCCTGTTACTTGTTCTCTTGGGCAATCTCTGAGTGAGAAGGAATATTTTGTACAGGGCTGTAATTGAACTTGAGTACCTGATCTACTCCTCCTGAGCTTCTTCTTCTCCCCCACTAATTTTGTGGATCTGATAGAACATGAAAAATTCATTCTCATCTTCCACATAGAAACTGCTTAGTTGTTCTGACTAAACCTTTGATCTTTGCCTTCAACCCTTGGTTTAGTTGATGGAACAAAAGTTTGCAGAGTTCAAGGAGATTGCTACAGAAAAAGATGTCATGAAAAGTGCGGCAAAACACATATGGATTCGTACATGCAAAAGTTGCCATCATAATATGCCATTAGAGTGGTCAGTAGCACAACCAGAAGACATTTGGCGTGTAGGCTGTTGTTGGCATCAGATGGATGATTTCCAGACAACGATTACTAGCATCAACGACAAGCACTACAGACAATCTACGTCGACCGCCATCAATCACAATGTGAAGAAGATAATGTAGATGGCTACTCTCAGTCTCGTAGACTTTGTATGAGGATCCAACTCAATCAAACTCTTCTGTGCTTACCATATGCTGCCTCTCCTATTTTAACTGAGTTCATAAGATTCGACTCGGCTCGATCGCGTTATAATCTCTCTCTTAAAAGGTTTGATCTTATTGTCAAGTTTAGATATAGCACACAAATCAAATTTTAGTACGACGAGCATAAGATTTAGCCTAGTGGTGACTCCATGTATCTTTAATTCAACTCGGCTCTAACCAAGATCGTAGGATCTGATTCAATTGGGAGGCGTTACAACTATCCTTAGTTAAAGGTTAATATTGTCATCAGCATCTAAACAAAATCCAAAATCAAATCTTATCATGACATATATGATGGTTAGTCAAGTGATGATTTTATTTTATGATATCTCTAGTTCTATTTAAATCGAATAAAAATCATAGTTTCTAACTCAAGCGTCATGCATGTATATTCTATATTCTTATCAAGAATCGAAAGGCAACCTAAAATCAAATCTTAATATGCTCAACTTCGTACATACGATGATTAGCTTCTTTTCCTAACCATTCATCATGCGACTCACCATGTGTAATATTACGTTATCTCTGTACATACGATCCGATGGAATAATTGATCTATTAATTTGTTGAGTCTAAACAAAATATCTCAAAATATTAAGCTCAAATTGATAAAAATATTTGTATTAAATTCTTTTAGACCAACTTAACTATCCTTCCATTTCGGATGTGGACCAAATCGAAGTAGCATTCTTCTAACACAAAATTTGTTAGTAGAGGCATATAAAATGCATGACAGTATACCTAAGGGTGGTGGGTCAGCAAATAGATGATACATGTACAAGAGTGCATTTTAATGCCTTCAATTTAAGTTCATTAGTTCCATTGGTATCAGTGCTACTCTCTTACATATATCAAGCCTACATGAGAGAGTCCTGTGCCATGAAGTCACCAAGGTCACTTCAGCATCAGAGAGTCAAAAGTTTTGCCCTCGCTTGTGACATCACGGATATCTATCTTTTCTTATCCAAGAAGTTCTTTTCAGAAAACCAAGCATGCATACATGAGGTGAGCATGGGGATCCCCAAGGAGGGATGGAGAAAGGACTCCTCAAATTGATTGATAAGAAGTAAACCATAGCTCACAAAGGAGGCCTATTTGGTGTGATTAATGACTAAACATTGGAAGTCCACACCTTTTTGTCTACTGCTACTTGTTAATTGATTAATGGCATGATCTCAAAACACAGAGACTTAGACGTGATGTTTTGCTTGTCCCAGTGAGCACTAAAAGTAGACTACAGTTTCATGGTGATCAATCAATGTCAACTGTTCATGGAGAGAGACAGGTGGCTTTTTTACTTCCCTGTTAGAGTGTGTGCATTATGATAGATCTTTGGGAGGCTTAAAAAGTAAGAGTTGCAGGTCAGGCTTTTATAAGTAGAGCTACCTTTAAGAGAATATTCATATGAGATAGAAAAAGGCTAATGAACAGTCTTATATTATTAAGATTTGAAAGAACCAAATGATATTTATTAGGATTGACTTAGCTGTTTTAGATTGAATTTATATCTAATCTTATATATATATATATATATTAATTTTGACTAATTTGATTATTATAGGATGATATCAAATCTTTAGTAATAATACATATCAACAAGTAGGAATAAATTTATGCCCCTCAGCTCTCCTCATCTCTATCTTACATTCACCTGTCATCGGTATATTCCCCTAACATCTCTTCACGTTTACCAATTCCTCTTCCTGCTAAGCAAGCTCCTCCTTCCACGATCACTCTTGGAACCTCTTAATCTATCCATTACTATCTCTTTCCGATGACCACAATATCTTAATAGAATGTCAATAATTCTTCCAAGCTTCTCTCATTTTGGGTTAGTCTCTTTAGACAGATTTCTTTTATTGACCCATGCAGCTTTGATGCTGAACTTGTTGCTAAGATTGCCATGATCTACAGCTCCTCTCAGTATGTTTTGGCCCTCAATCTAGTTGAGGTACAATATGCAAGGGTAGACCTCATGGGGGGTTTCTTGTATTTTTGCTTCCAATCGAGCAAGACATGAAAAACACCCTCACTAGAGACCCCATGGTTCCTTAGATGTTATGCCCTCAACCTCTTCCCCTGGTATTAGAACTTTGAACCAAACTGATAGGGACATAAATAGGAATAATCTTTATATATGAACAAATACTAGAAGACCATACTATGCAGCGGAATTAAATGGAACCACAATTAAATAGAACACCAAGATATATATGGAAAACCCCTTCAATGTGAAGGGTAAAAATCATGGGGCAAACTAGAGATAATCCATTATGAGAATAATGAATATACAAATCTCAATCTCTTGCCCTAAATCCTAGCAACAATCACAAGAGAATAACTGGGATACAAGGATCACGTCACTGTCTACAATATCTAAAACCTCCCCAAGTAATCACAACAAGAGTCTACTGTAGATTTGATCTAACCTGAGATGAGAACACTACTAGATGATTGAGAGTAGCCTCTCTGCGTTGTCCTTGTCTTCTTCCTTTTCTTTCTCTTCCTTTTTTGCCTTGTTTTCCTCCTTTTCTTTGGAATCCCGTGGCTGTTACCTTCTCCCACGTTGCTGCCCTATTTGTGTCTTTTTTCTGCATCCAAAACGCAGCTACCACACTCCCCCTAATGTTAATTAGGGTTAGGTTAAGAGGGGATGAGCTGTGGGCTGCCCAAGCCCACTATAGGCTGAATTTATGGGCTGCCAGCCCAACAACCTCCCCCTTCAGCCCATAAGGGAGGCTATCCCATGACTCCTCAATGTGAAGCCATGCCGACCAGTTGTCGGCATATCTCCTGTCTTTCTTTTGGTAAAGTTTTTGTCAACATGTTTACTCCGTTGTCATCTGTGTGAATTTTCTAAAGCTGCAACTACTTCTCTTCAAATACATTTCGAATCCAGTGGTATCTGACATCTATATGCTTTGACTTTGAATGAAACATTGGGTTCTTACACAAATGGATGACACTCTGGCTGTCACAATGCACCACATAATTTTTCTATTTCAGCCTCAATTCTTGTAAAAATTCTTTAATCCATAACATTTCTTTGCATACCTCTATAGCAGCAATATATTCTGCTTCCGTGGTGGAGAGAGCAATACACCTTTGCAACCTAAATTGTCATGACACAGCTCCCCCTGCAAAAGTAAGTACATAACCTGAAGTGGACTTTCTCGTATCTATATCTCTTGTCATATCTGCATTTGTGTAACCTGTCAACACATGTGGTCCACCTCCAAAGCTTAAACAAACCTTAGAGCTCCCTTTGAGATATCTAAAAATCCACTTCACTGCTGCCCAATGCTCTTTGCTTGGATTTGCAAGAAATATGCTAGTAACACTAACTGTATATGCGATGTCTGGCCTCGTACATATCATTGCATACATTAAACTTCCAACTGCTGAAGCATAAAGAAACCTTTTACATTTTCTCCTTCTCCTCATCACTTGACAGACTCTGTTCTGAATTTTTCAAATATCTTCTCGATGTATTTCTCCTGTGACAACCAAATCTTCTTATTTTTCCTGTCACGGGAAATCTGCATACCTAGTATTTGCTTTGTTGGCCCCATGTCTTTCATTGCAAAAGACTCACTTAGCTCCTTCTTTAATCTATTAATTTTAGATATATCTTTCCCAAGAATAAACATGTCATCAACATAAAGTAAGAGAATAATAAAATCCTCACCAAACCATTTAATGTACACACAATGATTTGAAGTCATTCTTTTGTATCCATTTTCTATCATAAATGAATCAAACTTTCTGTACCATTGTCTTGGAGCTTGCTTTAGCCCATACAAGCTCTTCTTCAATTTGCAGACAAAGTTCTCTTTACCTTTAACTTTGAAGCATTCTGGTTGCTCCATATAAATTTCCTCCTCCAAATCCCCATGAAGGAAAGCTGTCTTCACATCTAACTGCTCAACCTCCAAGTCCTGGCTAGCAGCAATACCAAGAGCAACACGAATAGAAGACATTTTAACAATAGGAGAAAAAATCTCTTCAAAGTCAATACCTTTCTTTTGACCAAAGTATTTCACAACCAATCTAGCTTTGTACTTTGGTTGAGAACAATATTCTTGAGTCTTCAACTTGAAAACTCGTTCTTCAAGGCCTTCATTCCATTTGGTAGTAGCATC